CTTCTAGCTACAAATTGCCTAAACGAAGCTAAAAACATAATATAAGAAGACTTATGTCGCTGACATAGGGCTTTGCGAGACTATAAAACTAGTCTTGGTCTTTAATAAATTTTCTCAAGACCAAGACCAAGACTTGACGTTCAAGCAAGACCAAGAATAGTGTTTTATTAAAAAATATCCTTATTAAAAACAAATCTACTGGACGATGTTTTTCGTGCAAAAAAACCATCCGATATAACCTGTGGTGGGCACGCCCCTAAAATTACTGGGTCAACTCTGAGCAGTCCAAAAGATACCCTATAAAGGTGTCAACAAACAATGAAAATTTCAATAAATCCATTAAAAATTAATAATAAAATTGGCTTATTTTTACAAAGTCTAACACCCTGTATCTGGAAAGCCTTTCCAGACAAATGTTTGTCAAAAAAAAAAAAAAACTTAATTCTTATGAAATCTACCATTTCTAAAAGTTTGTAACAAACCTTTCGTGGCAACCTGTATTAACATAAGTAAACAAAAAAAATGTAGGAACAAAAACTAAATACTAATATTCTTTTCTAATCTATTGAGCTTACAATCCTGTGATTTCTTAGATTAGTTCAGTTTATTTTATGCAAATTTTTAAATATGGTGTCCTTGATACGGTAGATACATAATATAACTATTGAAGTTCTCCCCAAAAAGATTAAATTAGACCAATCAAAAACTTTATGAAAATCAGGAAACGTTATCATTCTGCTTCAGAATTAGAAAGGAAGTAATTTTGAAAAGAGAAAAAGTTCTCGAAATACATACATACAATAGAAAATATTACAATAAAGAAAACAACCGGCAAAGCTAACCCAAACTACAAGACAAAAAAAGAAAATAATCCAAAATGAAATGACAAAAGCCAAAACGAAAACAAAACAACCGAAGGAGCAGAGGACATTTTTGGCATACGCATCCGCTGACTATAGTAACTCTTGATATTTTTTTTCGAATTTTTTAAAATAAGTTATTGTTTACGCCGCATGTAGACAATGTGTAGACAAATGCTCACGTAAACAATTCGAATTGTCTACGCGTAGACAATCAATTGTTTACGTTGACATTGTCTACAGGGGCGCGTTCACAGTGGTTTACCCTGGGTAAAACTTAACCAGGTTAAATATTTCACTGGTTGAAAAGGATGCGCTTGGGATGAAAAATCCGTGAACGACTAACGCCTGCGCAATAACGAGGTAGATTTGATTTTGTTTTCCTTTTGTTCACATACGTTGTGTTTCGAATGTTTCGAGATGGATCTGGGAATAATATTTTTTAAAAGTACTATTGAAACTTCTTCGGATTCGTCTGATACAGAGGACGAAGTCAGCTATGCTGTAGCAGAAGCTGCATGTGCTAGCGCTAGCAGTTTAAGTTTCATGCCTGAAAAAAGGCATATTGAAAGACAGGACAATTTTATGGCAACAATACGCAATTATAGCGAAAAGGAGTTCCAGGAAAATGTTAGAGTTTCTAGAGAGGCTTTCAACTGGCTTCCTGGAAAACTTGAAAACCAGTTGAAGTCAGCAATGTATGGCCCAGAAAGATTACTAACAGTTGTTTATCAAATTTCAAATATTCTTGTAAAACGCCTGCGCGACAAATTTTACCCATGTCTCATAGTGGGTTAAAAAGTTGTACAACCGGGTAAAGTTATCATGGCTCTGTGAACGGAGCAAATATTTTAACTGGGTGAATTAGGTAGATCCGTGGACGACTTAACCCTGCAAAAGACGCGCTCGGTGTGCACTCGGTGAGCGTCCGGCGTTCGACTGTGAACGTACTGGCACATCACTGCCTACGCATGCGTATTTGGGACTAAAAATAGTGGCAGTGCACTGTAGTGGCACTAGGGTTGACAAACTATCGAAAAAAAAACTATCGATAGTGATATCGATAGAATGGCTTACCTATCGATAGTAACTATCGATTGTACTATCGATAGTTTGCTCTGACCAAATTACCCAAATTTCTAATTAATTACGAAATAAATTTATCAAATAACAACAATAATATCATAACCTTAAATAACCATTAACCTCCAACCCCCATTAAGTCCATTAAAGTCACTCGTCACTCCTGTTAACCTAAAAATTAAAAATTGGCAGCACAGCATGTTTACCCCCAAAAATTATTACAGATTTCTCAAAACAGCTACAAATTTCTTTATATTTACTCGCTACTGAGAAACCGACCCTCAAGAGTTTGGAACACTCGAGCTACTCGCTCCGGTGTTAGTCGACTCCGATTTGAAAGGAAGAATTACGTGGTGCAACAAATGTCGATTAAAGGCGATTAACCAGTCGGTTATATTGACAGATAAACGATGCATTTAACGTCATTTATAACCGATTGGTTGACAAATGACGTTTGCTTCATTGATTATCTGTCAACTATGACCGACCGGTTAATCGCCTTTAATCGATGAAACACTTTTCGAAAGGAATAAGCACATAACGCCCCGGAGCTGTTCCGGAGCTCCTCCTAGGTGTGAAAGAAATACAACTATTGCAACTGGACACGGTTACCCTGGATTTAAAACCAACCCGGAGGTGACTCGCCATTGAGAAACCGGCCCTTTGGAACTACCGATAGTGGCACAGGTCTATCGATACTATCGAAAATGAAAAAAATATCGATAGTATCGATATTCCTATCGATAGTTTGTTATCCCTAAGTGGCACTCAGCGTTGCCAACTTAGCGGATTTCCCGTCATATCTAACGGATTTTGGTGAAGGGAAACGGAAACAATAAAGTTTCAACGGATGACGGATTTTTTAACAGGAACAAAGTTTCCGTTTAAAAATTCTAAATTATGTTCTATAAATGTAATGAACTGGTTGTTAAGCGATTCAAGCTACTTTTGGTCTGTAAACAAGCCTTTACGGAAACGTTGATCCGACTAGCCCGATCACCAGCTGATGTTATCTGTCTTTTTTCAACGGTTTTATTGGAAAAGGATAAAATACAAACTGACGATGATCGGGTGAATCGGATCAGTGTTTCTAAAAACGTCTAAAATCAAATGGCGTTGTCGTTAACTCTGCATAATTTGGTTGGCCCTACTGAATATATTTTATTTGTTTAGCGCATTTCGCATTTTTCATTCTGACGGATTTTATTGACGGAAACGAAAATGGTTTAACGGATTTTTGACGGAAATCTACAGCAAAATTGACGGAATTAAAAAAATACTGTTGGCAACACTGGTGGCACTAGTGGCAGTCAGTAAAAAAAATCGACGATACGGACTCGAAAAAATGGTCAAAATAGTGTCAATTTAACATGTTGTGCCATAATTCTTTTAATTCAAAATAGTGACTGTCAGTAATTAAAAAACAATAATAAAATCGATCACTATTTGGAAAGTGCCATCATTCTCTAATATTTGCAAAAACTTTCAAGGAATAATCCTGATGTTGGTCAGAGGTACCTAATCTATCCTATCAGATTATATTGTAATAAATTAACTTCAACATTGTTCCTGTAGAATGAAACAGTAAGGGTAGTTGTCAATAAATAATGCTTACACAATAAGCACTCTTTTATTTCCTTTGCTAGTTTTCGAAGTTGTGCAATTTTGTTTCGCTATAAATACAATGTTTTATGGTCTGGAGTTATGCTATAATTTGGATTTCCCTGCTCATTTCCTCAAAGGCGAGTCTCGTTGCTCCAATAATTCTGTTTAGATGGTATTTCATCTACCCCAGCTTTCCATAAGCCTCAAAAGTGCGGGGCTGATGGCGAAAGGAAATGTCATTGTGTTCCAGCATAATCAGTTTATTCTGAACATTGGATGGTTGTTTGTATCTTGCCTTTAAGTATCTTAATTCCTGTGGCTCTTCTAGCTAGAAATCACCTAAACGAAGCTAAAAACATAATAACAGAAGACTCATGTCGCTGACCTAGGGCTTTGCAAGACTATAAAAACACTAGTCTTGGTCTTTAGTAAATTTTCTCAAGATCAAGACCAAGACTTGACGTTCAAGCAAGACCAAGATTTGTTGTTCAAGACCAGGACCAAAACTCTCTCGAGAGAGTTTCGACTAGGTCTTTTTCAATTAAATTTAATAAATAAATGAACTGCTCATCATCTAGTCTCAGTGTAATTGAAAAAAAAAACATCATGGGAATTGGGATCATCTCATTTTAATTTTTAATAGAGTTTATGATGTGCGCTCTGAGACGAAACGTCAGATCTAAAATTTAATACTGTCCTCTTGTAGAGAAAAGTGGCACTGTCAAAATGCCATTTGTTTTAAAAAAGCTCTTCAAATAAGCACTGGAAAAATAAAAACGCTTTTGTGAAAATTGGTTTGTTCTTCCGAAAGTATTTAAACTTTTGAAACAAAACTGGCAGGTTCCACAATTAGGGTTTTTCACATATTTTTTTTTGTCAATAAGTGAAAAATGTACAATTAATTTTTAGCATGGCTTTGTCAATGCGATTACTGTGTATTAGACAATGAAAACTTTTTGAAAATGGATTTTTCTATGTGAAAAGCAACTGGTTCCATTGGAATTAGGACAAACTTTAAGCACTAAAATCTTGATGAATAGGTTTAAAGATCAGTCTAGAGTCTAGACAGTTCACTAGATACATAATCACAAATTGACGAGAAATTAACAAGCCTACCCTGAAAAGAGAAGGGTGGCGAGAGGCAAGGTACAAAGCCTCAATTGAACCATAATTATTATTCAGTGATATTCAGCTTTTATACCAGAGTTTATATGTCTGATTATAGGTCGGCAGTTCGCAGCCAGGCTAGGTTAATGGAGTCATTAAGAACTTGTACCTTCTCAGGCAAGTTCAATGCCGCCCAAATTAATACACCTTAATTTCTTCAATAGAAATATAACAGGCCTTTACCGTTTTTACATAGGTATTCGAAAAAAATATATTAAATATAAAAATGCCATTTTATTAGCAGTATCTAACTTGGAAACAATTTAAGGTTTTTTTATTTTTTTTATGTGTATTACCTAATTAATTTAAATTTATCAGGTGCAACTCATGTCTATAACTGAATCCATTTTCTGCGAGAAAATGAAAACTAAAAAACCAAAACTAAACTACAAAACGTTATCAGTGTCCAACACTGCTTGGAAGTGATAAATAAAATAAAAAATACACTTATTCTAAATCAATAATTCTAGTTTGAGATGATATGAGTTTATTCAAAAAGCTAGCATTCTTTGGTGTAGGTCCAAATAGAAAATGGTGGATTTTATAAAATCTATTAATACAACTTTATTTCTTCAATAGAAATAGAACAGGCCTTTACCGTTTTACATAGGTATTCAAAAAATTATATCAAATATAAAAATACCATTTTATTAGTAGTATCTGACGTAAAAACGACCTAGGGTTTTTTATTTTTTGTATGTGTATCAAATACAACTCAAAAAAATAGCTAGTTAAATTAAGCCTTGCATTGACGTCTATAACTGAACCCTCCATTTTCTGGGGAAAATTAAAACTAAAAACTAAAACTAAACTACAAAACGTTATCAGTGTCCAACAATTTGGAAGTGATAAATGAAATAAAAAAACTCTTATTCTAAATTATTAATTCTAGTTTGAGCTGATATGAGTTAATTCAAAAAGCCAACATTTTTTGATGTAGGTTTGAGGAAACCTCAGACCAAGGTTTTATTGGTGGTACAGTTAACACTGTTGCTTAGAGTCTAGGGAAAGAATGATACCAATGATTGAAAAAGTTGCACAATTATTTTTTTACGCGGTGTAATAACCAATTATATATTTTCAATTAACTTTTGGGTTTTAAATCAAAAATTTAAGATCCAACTTGAAGAAATGTAAGCTTTTTGAACAAACACAAAGTGATAACAAGAAAAGAAAATATAAAACTTAAAATATTGTAGAAACCTTAACTGGTAGCTTAAATTTAACAATTGCTTCTCCACAGTTTTATGGTTTTGTCTTCTGCTAAAGCTGCTGATGCGATTATATTTTCTGTCGGGTGCCATGCCGTTCCAATTACTGTGTCTCTGTGACCCTGAAAGAGAGTAAAAATGCCCATTATACCTAAATAATGTTTCAGGAAGAGACCCCAGTTAACAGATAGTTGAATATTCATGATACAAGGCAGAAAAATACATGTTTTGGATGCTTGCTGCATTTGCAAATCTAGGCAAAGCCAAAATTTGCTAACAGGGGGATCCAACGGCGTGTGGATTGTTGAGCCTGGGTGGTGACTTGCGGAGCCGCGTACCGTGAGATTGAACATTTTAGTGTAGCTTGGTCTTTTCCGCTTCGTGTGAAAATTAATAAATAATAATTTAGTTAGCACATTGCCTTAGCACAAGCCAGGCTTGCAAATCCACGCATATTAAGTGGGCATTAATGACTTGCAATCTGTTTGTTCTGTACTGAGTGATTATTTTTTTAAATCAATCTTCGTCCAGAATGACGACGACGAAATTCGGGTTCAGGATCAGGGCTCAAAGATAACGGATAATGTCTGCTGCTTTGCAACTGAACCAAAATAAATATTTGAAACCTCAGAGTTCAATTCACTGACATGAGAATAATTCCAAAAAGAAATAGTATTGGTAAGCTTTTATAAATATTTGCAACACCTATTAGCTAAGAAGACTTTAGGGCCCTTATTGATGTATTATTGTTGGTGTTAGTTTTTTACTAACCAAGTACCAAGTGAGCTAATTTATGATAATAAGGTAGCAAATATATCATTCCAGTTACAGCTGGCAGATTCTTTTTTATAGTAAATGAAAAAAATTGATTGGCTAAAAGCGCTGCCATATTTGTGCTTGAGAATTGCCGGAGGAGAGAGCAGCCACAACATTCTCATGATATACAGTGTGTATCAGCCAAATGCAATAAATTCGATAATAAATAAATGGGGAACTTTCCGAAAAAACGCTCGGACACGTCGATTTTGTTTTTCTTTTGGCTTAAGATTTTTTCACACCGATTTCTTCTTACAGGGTGTTCCAAATACAGCTGTACAGTCATCAATTTTATTTTTTTAAGTGGTACTACCTGTATATTATGACATTTGTGGATTCTGCGGAAAATTCTAGACTTATTCACTTATTTCATGTATAATCTCATATACCTATCTTCAACTGTTTCGGAAATATTGACAGTTGAGAACTGACTTTTTTATTACTTTGACAGACTGTTAAACCTAAACGGTTAATTTTACAGAAAAACCGATTTTACATTCACATCTGTAACTTCTCATACGCTATCATTTGACACCAACTACGAACTTAACCGGAGATTAAATTAAACCGGAATTTTTAATCATGGATTGAATTCAAAGTTGGTGTCAACTGATAGTTTATGAAAAACTAAGACAAGAATGTATGTTCGGTTTTGCTGTTGAAGATAAGTATAGGACATTGTACATGAAATATTTATTTATTTATTCATCAACGGGTAATGCCCAATTACAATAAGTGTTAAACTTCAAATTCACACAAATTTAAAACTAAAAGTAATGTAATAAGAATCAAAGAAATACAAGGAATAGACTCTTATTTACCGAAATACATTATGCACTTGATCAAGGAAAGCATGTCTAGAATTTTTCGCATAATATACAGGGTTACCATTCAAAAAATGAAGTTGATAACTGCACAGCTGTTCTTCGAACACCATGAATAAAAAAATTAGGCAAAATAACAAAATCGACGAGAATTTTTCCGAAAAGGCCCCCATTTATCTATTATCGAATTTATTCTATTCACACACTATGAATATTCCTTAAACTCAGTCTTAAATAATCATTTCACCTCCATGCTGAAATTAAGATCTATACAAGTTTGTGCAATACATACTATTCAAAATATGAGACCTCAACTTCTAAGGTAGTGCTCAGAAATAAATGTATAGGTTACCCTTTATGAGAGCCTTCAAAAGCAAAAAAAGGTCACATTATTTTTTCTGTGATGCCTGAATATTTGAAAGCAAAAAACTGAAAAGTTCTAGCATGAAGAAAAAAAATTCTTACCTGTAATTTCTGTACTATTTTTCTTGTATGTAAATTCCAAATATAAACCATATTATCCTCCGATCCACAAACAATCCATTTTCCTTCAGGAGAGAAGTTTGCAAAAATGCAATATTTCTCGTTATTGTGCCCAGAGTAAGTTTTCACGTACTTACCCTTGACACAATCCCACAACTTTAGGGTGTTATCTAAAGTAGCAGTTAGGATATATTTTCCATTTGGTGAAAATTTGACAGTGGAAACTGGGCAATTCTTTCTCGGAGTCAGTGTTTTCAAGCACATTCCAGCGCCAGTGTGCCAAATTCGACACGACCCATCATGGCTACTACTAGCAATTAGAGAACCATCTAGGTTGAAGTCTACCGAAGTGATACGATCAGAATGAGCCGACAAAGTTTGGAGACATTTTCCATTGCGCACGTCCCATATCTTCAAAGAATCATCGAGTGAACCAGATACTATAAGGTTAGACTGGGGATTGAAGCTGCAGCAAAACGCATAGTGACTATGACCTTTTAAAGTTTTGAGGGACTTGCCGGATTCTACATCCCATATGTTTAACGTGCTGTCGTCACAAGCTGAGACTAAGAGACGACTGTCGCTTGACCAAGCTACATCATTGACACCTGAAAATGAACAAAACATTTTTAAGGGGAGGCTTATGGGCACTTTTTTCCTTTTTTTTAGCTAAACTAGTAGCTTGATAAGTAAATAAATGAACAAATAATCTTTATTATTAACTTTAGGCTAGCAAAAATAAACAATAATTACATAATTTAACAATCATTTTAAAATTTTATAATGTAACAATTACACAGGCGTATCTGCTATAAACAAACAACAGCCTTTTCTCCAGTCACCAACTTCCAAGTCCCTCTGCAGCCCTTACTCTCAAAGATTATCAAAAGCTTGATTTACCTATGTTTCGTTGACAAATTGCCTATGTTAAATTATACTGTTTGGATGTGAACTTGAAGAATTTACAGAGCTGGGCATTTCTCAAGACTTTTAGAAATATACAGAGTGAGTTTTAAGTATGGAATGTCTCAATTATCTCGAAAACGCTTGCACGATTTTTATGAATTTTGGTTTGAAAGAGTATTGTGATATAGAAGTATTTACATGGATGTCAGATCTTTCGTTTTTCGGGAAATATCAGAAACTTTGTTTTTTCAAATAGATCACCCTGTATATTATGACTTTCATGGATTCTGCGGAAAATTCTTGACATATTTCATGTACAATGTCATATAGGTACCTATCTTCAACAGTTTTGGAAATATTGACAGTTGAAAATTGGCTTTTTTCCAATTTAGGCTGTGAAACCTGAAAGGCTACTTTCACAGCGAAACCGATTCTACATTCTCGTCTGTTGCTTTTCATAAGCTATCATTTGACACCAACTTTGAATTTAATCGGAGATATAATAAATTCAACGTTGGTGTCAAATGATATTTTATGAAAAAATTAGATAAGAATTATAGGATCGGTTTTTCCGAGGGTTTTGCTCTAAAATCAACCATTTAGGTTTTACAGTCTGTCAAAGATGTAAAAAAGTCAATTTTCAACTGTCAATATTTCCCAAACAGTTGAAGATAGGTATATGACATTTTTTTATGTAATGTAATGTAATTTATTCCACAATGTACAAAAATTATACAAGAAAAGCTTCACAAAAGCTGTATGGAAATGTTGCTTAAATTAATCCTATCAAAATTGTACATGAAATATGTCTAGAATTTTCCGCAGAACCCAGAAATATCATGATATACAGGGTGATCTATTTGCAAAAACAATGTTTTTGATATTTTCCGAAAAACGAAAGATCTGAAAACCTTGAAATACTACCATATTATCGGCCATATTACAGTTCTCTTCCAAACCAAAATTCATAAAAATCGTGTAAGCCGTTTTCAAGATAATTGAGGCGTTCCATACCTAAAACTTCCCGTGTATAGTTGGAGAAACAAAAATTGATCTTCACTATATTTATTAAAAAAACTAGTTTTTATTTAAAATTAAACTGTTACTCAACTTATGACCAGTACTTAATAATAGTTTTTTTTAAATCCCAAATTTTGATCAACTCATACAGTGTGTCCCTTAAGGACTGAACACCCTTCTAAAATTTTTTAACCGATTCAATTTATTTTTTTTGTCTTATAGCTATTCGAATTTGGCACTTATTAGACTGGTGAACAGGGTGTCCACATTTATAGGCGCAAATTTCAATAAGTACTATTAAGGATTTTTTTTGAAAAAGTCTGATAGCAGATTCTTGTTTAGCATAGTCTGAAACCCAAATGTACTAGTTTTTGTTTCAATACGATACAGAGTGATGCCAATAAATTTAAGGTCCATCAAATTTTGAAAATTTGTTGTGATCACCCTGTATCTTATTGAAACAAAAACTAGTACATTTGAGTTTTAGACCATTCTAAGCAAGAATCTGCTATCAGATTTTTCCTAAAAAAATCCCTAATAGTATTTATTGAAATTTGGGCCTATAAATGTGGACACCCTGTACACCAGTACAGCCGAAGAAATAAAATTATGAGCCTAATAAGTGCCCAATTCGAGTAGCTATAAAACAAAACAAAAGTGAATTGAATCAGTTGAAAAATAAAAGTTTTAGAAGGGTGGTAAGTCCTTAAGCGGGACACACTGTAGGTGATCAACTTATAGGTGAACAACTTGCCAAACACTCTACACTCTATATTGATACTTTCATCATAAATAGATTAGATCAATTATTATTAGATTACAGATTGATTATATGTTAATTTACAAAAATCACTGTCACACGTTCATGAATACTGTTGTTTTTTACATTTTATTCACTCACTCCAAGGGCTTGGAAAACTTTTTTTCCAGATTTTTTTCTCTGCATTCCCCAATCACAAACAAGTTTATTATTTATATACATAATAATTCAACTCTTACCGAACTGATGGCCAGCGATAATTTTCTTAAATTTGCCATCATAAGCTCCCCAAATTTTGATCGTCCTATCCGCTGAACAACTTGCCAACCATTCTCCATTAGGGCTGAATTTTACGGATGAAAGTGCTCGGGTGTGTCCAATAAGTGTTAAATGGAGTGTATAATTCGGTTTCATATTCCTTGATGATGTTTTGGACTTTGCAGAGAGGGGCAAAACAGGGGAAGCCGAGCTTGTGGGCATCATACTGAATGGAATGGTCTAGGGCCTGATGATATTGGAAAATATATGCTCAAATTGTTGAATGTAAATAAAACGACGACAATACGCTGCGCTGCACCTATTGAAATTGAAATTGATGCGGAATTGCAGAATGCGCAGATGTGGATTATGAGGTTGAGGTTATGTTCACTCGTGTCTCGTGGTCGTGTGACTCGTGTGTAGATGCTATTGGCTGATGCCTTCGCTTTAACGGCTGTCGCCCAATGAAAGTCATGCGCGCGGTGGCGCGGTGCTGAAAGTTTTTGACTTGTTTTCGAAATTATTTTTTGTGTATTATTTCAAAGTAGCAGAAGAGAAAAATAATAAATTACGAACTAAATTTTAAATCAAATAAAAAATTAGAACAAACAGCGGAATAACTGAAAGCCGGATCTCCATGGGTGCGTTCAAAAAAGCACCGGTCACACCCACACTCAGTGTACACCCCAGCTGTTCGAAAATACAGATGTATCTACTCCGTTAAACCTTCTTTGTGGTTCGAAGAAATTCGGGGTACGGTACCTATACTATATCGTATACCCTGAATTCAAGCTGATCTTGGAGAAATTTTTTCATGAGCAAATTTGATAACTTCTGCCTTGCAAGCACTGATCTCAAAAATAAATGGATAAACAAAGAACGCTTCTAATGCTGCTAATTTACGAGGTCATCATAATGTAAACAACTGGGACTGCTGACAGCTGTGAGCGTGCGCAGTAGATACATGTACTGTGCGTGCGCAAATTTTGAAATATCCTTCATTTTCATTGGAATGAAGGATATTTCAAAATTTAGAACAGTTGTTCGAAAGATAAACACTAAAACACTGCGCAGGCGTTAGGCTGTTCCGTTGCACGACTGTTCGTAGAATATTGACCCCAAATTTTCGCACAAATTTAGCCAATCAAGCGGTACGATTGTTTATCCATTTATTTTTGAGATCAGTGCTTGCAAGTCTATAAATGTTGCTAGATTAACAAACCAGTATAGTTTTCACGAGTTGAGGCATCCATGACACTGTTTTGAAATCAGAGGTGTTTCAAAGTTGTTGTCTCTGTGTCTCAAAGTTTTGAAACATTTTTTAGAGCTGGTTTAAAACAAATTCACAATGACGTTATAACTTCTCGGCGCGAGAAAATGGTTAAAAACGTGGATTGGATTGTATTTCGAAACGGTTTGAACCAATTTTGTGTGACGTCAGGGGTTTACCGCGAGAATATACTATTTCAAACCTGTTTGATTTGAACCAGTTTCAAAAAAAATGAACGCGAGAAAGCAGCTCTTGTTACCAGCTGATTTTTGTCCCATGAATAATGGTTATCTTTCAATTAACCAAATCTTATGCCTTATTCTCCCTTGCGCGAAATTTCGCTCTTTTTGTGCGAAATTCGTTCTTTTTTTGACATTGCCTCGACAATTTGACGAGTAACTCCACATGAGTACGAAAAGGACGTGGAGTCAAAAGAGCTGACTCTGCCTTGTTATGAAATTTACCAGAACGATGTTTGATTTGAAAATCGTACCTAATGTTGCAACTTCTCAATCGAAGAGTCAGTCATCAGAGGAAGAGCAAGATTTCTTGCAAAAGTTCTTTCAATATTGGGTGCTTGTCTCCTATTGGAACTTTTTTTTTTCTCATATTGACACAGCTCTGATTTTTGGTTCCATTGCAACAGTCTCGAATTGACGCCTGAACTCTATAGTCACATTCCAATTTTTTCTTGACTAGAGAAATGTAGGACGGGAGATACACGGAATATATCCCTTTGAAAAAAGTCCTGCACTGACTGACTACGCGTGGATAGATGTCCTATTCCATTCACAGTCCTTAGTAGGTGTAAGGAAAAGTGTGAAGGAAATATGAGCCGTGCTTACCTATTTGTCCGATTTAGATGAAACTACATTCAGGTATTTGGTTTGAGACACAAGGGCGTTTAGATCCAAACTAATGACGCAACAGCGGACAAAAAAACTAATATACGACTGTTCCCTATGTTTCACTTTTTTCTAAAATACTTTCAACGTTTTCTTCCAGGTTTGGTTTGACATCACAATCGGCGGGGAGGCAGCCGGCCGCCTCGAAGTCGGCCTCTTTGGCAACACCGTTCCGAAAACGGCCGAGAACTTCAAACAGCTCGCCCTAAAGCCTGCCGGCGAAGGCTACAAAGGCAGCAAGTTTCACCGAGTCATCAAAGAGTTCATGATCCAAGGCGGCGATTTCACCAGAGGTGACGGCACCGGAGGACGTTCAATTTACGGCGAACGTTTCGCCGACGAGAACTTCAAACTGAAACATTACGGAGCTGGATGGTTGTCGATGGCAAATGCTGGAAAAGACACAAACGGTTCGCAGTTTTTTATAACTACCAAAGCAACTAGCTGGTTGGATAACCGTCATGTAGTTTTTGGAAAAATTCTGAAAGGGATGGATGTTGTTAGAAGGATAGAGTCCACAGAAACTGACAGCAGGTAAGAAATTGAGTCACAGGTTAAATATCCAGTAGTAAATAATAAGCATTATGAAAGTAGAAATAAATATGAGAAATCTAGATCATTCTAGTAAGTAACTTATCTTCACTTTCACTAGCTTCTTCCAAAATGCAGAAAATAGAAAAACGCAAAAATCGACAAAACGTCTACGCACCAACTGACATTTTTATAACTATGCTGCCCTCACTATGCAGACTAATAACACAGACTAGTCTGCTTCTGCCTACTAGATCATTGATACCCTTGAAAACTGGTACAAAATTGAACTATTCTACGCAACCCCGTAATTTCGCACAGGCGCTCTACAGATTTCCTTGAAAATTAATAATTCAACTGCTATGATCATCCAAGAAGGTGCAGAATAGGCACCTTCTTCTAATTCCCGCGCCACCGTCCAAGGAAAGAAGAACCACGCAGGCGTGAGGGTAGATCTGGAAAGTCAGGATGGTTAAGTGATGTAAGGCTCTGGGTTCAAGTCGCAGTTGTTAAAGGAATGAAGTGATAAGTGGATTTTTATAAAGTCATTTTGATCAATAAATGTTGTCACTGTTTGTAGAGTGAGTTTAAGTGGACCTGGAATCCGTGGCAATATTTTGTAGCACTACACCCTAGACCGCTCTTCCCTTCTATCCATTATATCTTTTGAAAAATTAGATTCTACACATGTTGACAAGTGGATTTTAGAATCGCTGCTACTTGTAAATTTCAATCCATATGATTGATTGTGTACGTTCTAAGTATCTCGATACATGCTTTATTTATTCTGAAATTGTAAAAAAAAGTTGGGCATTAAAAAACTCAAATCTGGGCACGAATAGACGAAATTGTAACAATTATTGGTATAAAATTTCAATAATTTTATTGCAGTTTTGGCTGCATGGGTGATTCATGCAATAATTTCCTGAATCTAAGCTAGAGGTACCTACCTATGTATGAGTTTTTTTGACTTTTATACATTACATTATCTCTAAACTCTGAATCTTTAGAAAAAAAACACCAACATTTATAATTTAAGTTGTCTAGTTTAGGATCTTGTTTAGTCTAGTTTTTTTTTTTTAATTTTCATTTTAAGGGAGCAATTGTGAAGAACTGCCTTTTTTAATGCAAAAATCGTTATTTGGGGTGACAATTGACATTTGGCAATAATATAGGTAACCAAGCGGAACTAACTATTTTTTTTTTTCAGAGATAAACCAATCAAAGACGTCATAATTGCAGACTGTGGTGTTGAAAGCGTTCCAGAACCTTTCAGCGTGTCGAAAGAAGATGCTAGGGATTGAAGTGATAGGTACTCTCCCATTTTTTAATGGAAGCCAGTGTCTTTTTTGTACTACTACTTGTAATAAATAAATTGAATTTTACTTATAAAATGAATTTGTCAGTTATTTCATTCCAATAAAGTAATACGTACCTACTAGTTTGCACGACTGCATGGAATCATAACTTTGGGTTAATCCACACCAGTTTCAAGTTTCAAATAAATTTTTAGGAATTTTTACACCACTAAATAATAATATTTTAGCCTCATATTGATTCAGGTAGCTATGCAGTTCATAGAAAATTGAACTTTAAAATATAAGGTAGGATAGGTTGTAGGGTGAGTTCAAATTTTATTCAGTTTGCGGATTTTTCTGCCTTGGTAATAGAAAATTTATTTTCAAGAGAAATGCATGCTGGAAAATGTCATGCAGAACATGAAATAAAGGCATTGGGCACCTGTGGTCATTGAAGATTAGGAGACATCAAGCAAAGTAAAACAAAAATTTATTCAAAAAAAAAAACAAACCAATAATAATAATCCATTTATAACAAAATACATCCTTAAACGTTACAAGTTGAGCTGCAGTGACTCCAATACTTCTCAGCGAGGCCCAAAAGCTCGTTGGACCAGCTCTTTTTTGTTTACTTTTCCCATGGCGTTCTTTGGTATTGTCTCTACAAACCTGAAAAAAAAAAGTTTAACAATTAACAACATAATCAAATCAATGCAATGTAATCCAATGATCTAATAGGATTTGACTAGAGACCAATTTGCCCCTCAGATAGTGTGAACTGTGAAGTCCAATAATCATACCTGCAAATTACAGATTTTAATTTTGCGGAGTCGTTTCTATTGGTCGATATTTTCGCGCCATGACAAATTTAGAGAATTGAGGCCAATAATAGTAACACTACCACAATCGCGGGTCTAATTTGACGTAGAAGTTCTATTATTAGGCCAACATGTTTCGGTAGTGTTATTTCTACCTTCCTCAGGGCTCAATCTGTGTTAGTGGTATTGTCAGAGTTCTGTTTTGACAAACGCATAATTATTTATTGAAGTAAAACTTCTTCACGCACCGTAGGGTAAGTTCGTTACATGCGAATTGCTATGTGAAAAGGGAAAGTAGAATAAATACTAGGCAGGGCGAGAAGGAGAGGCGATAGCACATCTGAATCAGAATCAGAGATAAGTTTGTCGAGTGAAACCCTAACTGAAGACTTCTCTGATTCAGATGAACATCCTAGTGAAATCAAAGAAATATCCATTATTTTAGATCCATATTATGCAGTGTAGGCACGTAATGTTATCTAGGGCTCAACAACTATTTATACCTACAACAAAATTGGTGTGGATGTGGACAAACATGAAAATAAAAGTTGCTAACTTTTGGAAGAGTTGCAAATACAGAAGTTGCCAACTTTCCAGTGGACACGTGTTTTTATAAGAGAAAAGAAGTTTATTTTGGTTATATCAATTCAAAGCTTAACAATTAGGACATCGTTTTTGTAATAAAATCAGCTGGAAATCGGATGATTTTAGGAAATCATTGAGGAAATAAAGTAATCAATTAGGAATGATATAGAAATCCCTAAAAAACATGGAAATTGAAAATCACCTGGTAATCATACAAAAATATCTGAAAATCATTGGCAATCAGTCGCAATTCTTGGGATGGGAATACATGAGATTCATTGATCAGTGATTCCCAAATATGGAAATCACTGTACATTTGTGAGCATAGTGGTTGACCCCTCGGTTATATCATATGACAAAAAATTATAGTTTAGAGAAGCCAGAAGGTTTAGTTGTGTTTTGTATGTCGCAACACTGCCTTATTTTCATTTGTGAGGTTGGCACCCCTTCCGTCATGTCACGGGACAGTCGGCCAGCATTGACATAGAGGCCAGCTTTAGGTCCATGTAATGAATGAATCGTCATAAAAAAAATAAGTACCTACCTAATTAATAAATGAACCAGTTCATTTAAAAACAGACAGTGATTTGTGTTATATTAATCTACCACCAACCAAGATGAAACAGGATATGAGAACGTTGATTAGATTATACGTATACGTATGTCAAACAGCATAAAAGTGACAAAATACTATTTCGAAATTGCCTCGAAAGTCCGGCCGGATTCTAGGAAATTCGTTGTTTACAAGGGACACGTCTTTTCTGGGAATTCTATTATATTCGATTCGATGTTTTTCTAGATAGATTTGGGGTACGATTTCCACTCTCAATAGCGTGTAGTAAGTGATAAGTGAATTTTATATAGGTACAGTTAGGTAATTTGTTTTAATAAAAGTTGTTACTGCTTGTGAAGTGAGTTTAAGTGAACCCGGAATCCGTGACAATATATGCATAAAAAAAAGCATTATTTACAAGTGAGTGATGAAGGAGTGACATCAACCAAATTGACTCAATAATTATCAAGAAAATGCAGTCTTACCTAAACTAACCCATCCGTCTAGTGCGATCTAGTCCTCGTTGGTTAGTATTTTATTTAAAAAAAATAAAGCACGCTCAAGGGATGCTATACACTAAACTAAATTAACTATGTTTTTTTTTTTTTTTTAAAAAATGGTAACTTATGAGGACTAGATCGCACTAAACGGACGGGTTAGTCTGCATTTTCTTGATTATTATCGGACAGGTGAAACCAACAATAATAAACGCCTACTGCATGGCTTTTGAAATTAGGCATTATTTGCAAACGTGGAGCTGGGCAAATGGTTAATGCAAATGGCAACTATAAAAATGATTTGTCTTACATGTTTTAAATTCACGTTGTTAGTTGCCTAGTCACATACCGTCCGCCTGAATCTCAACTTGTCTTTTGTCACAGTTCCATATATAGGCTAATAGCAAAATCTAAGTAATTTTTAACTGTTTTGCTATTTGCCAAGGCACTTAGTAAAACACTTGGCAAGTTACTATATGCCTAAAATTGCTTTAGGCCTACGACATATACATTGTTATAGCCCAGGAGTCACATAAAGAATATCTTTTCCAATGATATGTTTCGTGAAAACATTTAAACCACTTACCTAAATTCTTTGGGAACAGCATACTTTGGCAACACTGTGTGTGACCATTGAACCAACTCTTCTTCGATTCGTTTATTATCTATTTCATTCTTCACAAGTGCAACAATGGCAACAACGCGTTCACCCCACTGCTCATCCTTTACACCAATCACACTGCAATCTTTAATTGCAGCGTTGCCATGTAAGGCGGCCTCGATTTCAAGAGCGCTAACTTTGTAGCCTCCAGTCTTAATTATGTCTATGGATTTCCTGCCCAGAATTTTGAAGGATTTTTTGTCTAACGAGTACTGACAAACGTCGCCGGTTTTAAAATAATTGTCTGACGTGAAGGAGTTTTTGGTGGTTTCAGGTCTTTCGTGGTACTTAGAAAAAATGCCAGGGCCTTTTAGTTGAAGCTCGCCTACAGGGTCTTGACCTTGAGCATCTTTCTGACAGTTTTTTGAATAAACCAAAGTGTCTTCGACGTTTGAGCATTCCACTAATGCCTCTTCCTTGTCCGCATTCTCCATATCTACAATTCTAGCCGAAACTCCACGAAGCGGTACACCAACAAACCCAGGCTTCCTACTGTCGTACAAATTTGACAAAGTCATTCCAGTTTCTGTCATTCCGTATCTTTCTAGTAATTGATGCCCAGTAATTTCCAACCATCTTTCATATAAAGGCAGCGGCAAAGGAGCAGATCCAGAAATCATTAACCTCACTTTTGAATGGATGTTATTTTTAATATAATCGGCCATCTTCGGATCTTGTTTGAACACCCGATCATATTCTTCAACTAACTTTGAGTACATAGTGGGGACACCCATGAAAATCGTTACCCTTCGGTCATCGGGTCCGGCGTTAACGCCTAACAAATACGACCAAGCCGAGTTCGCATTGAATTTCTTCAACATCATAGTTTTAGCCCCTGCGTATAGGGGACACAGAAGCGCGTTGACGATGCCATGAACATGGTGTAGGGGGAGGGCATGCAGTATGACGTCATCGGAAGTCCATCTCCAGGCGTCCAGAAGAGAGGAGACTTGCGCGGTAAGGTTGTTGTACGACAAAACAACACCTGAGAAAAAAATCAGTAAATTTTAAATTAGTTTTAAAAATAACTCATATTTTTGCATTTAGTGTTAGGCTATTTTCATTTAAACCTTCACCAAAGGTTTTTAACATAGTTTATATTAGTTCTGTTCCAACCGAAATAAGAACCGTTCCAGAACTAGTAATTTTCATCAGTTGCCCACTTATTTTTCAATAAGTTGAACGTTTATCCTACTTGACAAATGAATTGATCGACTGGAAATTACCGTTCTAGAACGTTTCTCATGTCGGTTGGAACAGAGCTATTTTTAAACAAAACATATTTTATTCTGAATTATTGTTTTTATAGAATTTGAAAGATTCTCATTGTTAACATAAATTACCCCAACTTTGAGTAGGCCGTATTTCCTAACTAAAATGGAGATATCTTATTTACACAGATACCTAACTTAACACCGTATGTCTACTGCAAAATTTAACCTTGCGATACATCTTTGCTATAGAATAAAATAATTTAATTGGATAGGCCTTACATGCCCTTGGAATTTTTTTGACACTCTATGTTGTGGACGCATCAGATGTTTGGTTCTTTAATCTATTTTTACTTGTATTTGAACAAAATTTGGTGTTTATTGGTTTTAAAAATTCTTTTAGCTGTCTGTAATTTTCTTGCGTTATTGAATCTATTATTGAAAAAATTAGACAGAGAGCTAACGAGTTGGGCAGCAAGCATGATACATTATAGTGCATAATTGTGTACAGGGTGTCCCATTTTGGTTTTATCCACAAGGGTTGATTTACTATTGAAGTTAGGATGCGGTCTTCGCGAATGTTGGCTACTTTTTTGTCAAACGAAAGATCACAACGAAAGATGCCGTCAACAAAATTGTCATCGCCCTTTTTGTTTTTCAGATACAAGGTGTTTTTGAAAATGTTGCATGGAAACCTCTTGAATCTCGGTTCTCTCATAAGTGATCGGAAAGGTGACAACGGGTTCTTATAGAGCTTTTTACATAGATTCCAGTGGCGGAGTCAGTTTTTTTTTCTAGAAGTGATAGTTTTCGATTCATGAGCCATCAAACATACGTTTTTTCAAATAAGACATCTGTATATTATTAACTCATTGGATAGCTCTGCTTTTGCGGATTACCAAATTTTTCAACAGTGAAAAGCTTTAAGGCCAGTTCACCATGGAGATAGAAGTGAAAGGTAAACTTCGATTCCTTGACTCCTTGGTGTTTCGGAACTTGGTATCCCAAGTCCACAGCCGATTAATGTTTTTCTATTAATGTGAAGTTATATGGTTCCCGTTCTATAATTCTAATGGTCGGCGGATAACTGGCCGACCAATGGAAGTTTAAATATTTGTCAAATCAGTGCTTTTAGATTTATTTCCATTTATCAATAATAATTAACGACTAAAGTAAAAAAAATCGATAAGTTCCATCAATAGGTACAACAGGTGAGGTTATTGTATTTAAATAGTGAATGTTAGGTATGTAACAACATTTTGATGATTGTTGCTGATTTGACAATTGAGGTGGCGATAAAAATGTAAGCATTTAAAAATAATGCCCTTTTCAACAGCCTAAAAAAGGTAGCAAAGAAAAAGTAAAGTGCAAGTGCAATCTATCGATTCGCATATATTGAAACATGTTTCAAGAATGTAGGAAACATCCCCACTACTATCAGTAGTATCCTTTACGTATTTCACTATCTACCCAATTCAGCCTATTTGGCCATAATCGGAAAATAAATTCTGAATTATCTGAGGACACAAAATCTCATTATCCTCAAAAATTGCAATTATGTCCTTTAGCCTAGCCTAGTTTTGGCTCTCAGAAATTAAAAAAAAAAAAACAGATGTACCATAACATAAAAACTGCTTCTGGGTATATGAGTACCTACCTACCTATTTCATTACAAGAATTACCTTACCTTTGGGATTAGCCGTTGTTCCACTCGTATACAAAATCATTGCATCGGATTTTTTGTAAAAATCATCATCAATGCCTCCTTCCAAGTCATTTTTGTGAATTGGCTGAAATCAAAAGAAAACTTCCTGAAAAATATCAATTTGACAAAAAATGCTCAATAATTCTTCTATTTTATCAACTGCACACTGATAGTGATGCCACAGAGACGAGATATTCTCTTTTTTGAAAACAGTCAATAATTTCGATAGTAGATTTTTTAGTTTAATTTTAGTTTTTTGTTTTGCCATTAGATGTAGGTTTTGCAAAACTATTTTTGTTCACACTTATTGTGCATTTATTTTTTGTAAAGAATATAGTTCAAGATTTAGAATAAATTATTTATTTAAATATACAGGGTGTTTCCGAAGTTGGGTCCCTAACATCAAGGTGCGATTCCTTATATTAGAAAAAAAAATCTATTTATTTCAAAAAAATACGCAGAATCCTGACGGTGAAAAGTACATTTTTCTGCAGAATTGGCACAAAACTATTGTCTTGCGAACAAGAATCACTCATCAACTCTAGTAATTTCATGCAGCCAAAGAAGTATTCACTTAACAAAAAAAAATTGAATAGAAAAACAAAGATCACATTTGTGTTAGTTTCAAGATTAAATCCACGTCCATAAATGATACAAAACAAAATTTCACCGACAAACAGCATGCAAAACAAAGAGCAGAAGAGTCCGTATAAAACGCAAATGTTGAGTTGAGTAATACGCTTTTTCAAATAGAAGCCGTTTTACATCTCTACTAAAATGTTTCCAATTTTCCTCTTTCCTGATGTTCAATGGCAGATGATTAAAACGTTTTTCAATGTAATATACAGGGTGGCGCAGAATGAACGTTATGATTTGATCGTTTTTTAACTTTTTTATTAAAATTTTTAATTTCTCTTTCGTTTCAGAATTTTGTAAAGAAGACTTGGGGAATTTAAAATGGCACAATACACGATACAACAACGAACAAAAATCATTAAATTTTACTTTGCCAATGGAAACTCAATAATTGTTCTTACACAGTGTGCATATTGTCGGTATTTTAATGTGCGTTATGGACCCTCCGCGCCAACAATAAATCGTCTGGTTGCAAATTTTCAGCAACAAGGTTCAGTAAGGAACCTCCGTGGTACCGGAAGACCACGTAATGAAATTTATGCCATAACTCCTGAAATTTTGCAAAAAGTCATGCAACATTGTGTCGGAAAAAGCACGACTTTGCGAAGCAGAAAATGGCAGATACTTGCGAGATGTCATTTTTCACATTTGAGTCAATAATTTTCTCCATTCATAAACTGTGTTAAAAACAAAAATATATTTACAATTCACTTGAAAATAAAAAAGTTATAAAGCATTCAAATCATAACGTTCATTTTGTGCCACCCTATATTAGACTTTTTGATCAGAGTAGAACCAGGAATGGGAAAATTGCTAGGAAGATTGTCAGTACAGTGTGTGCAGATCGAGTAGCATGAATTCTGGTCGAAAGAATTTCGTACTTAAACGAGAATGCAAATTAATTTACAATGAACAATACTCTCCCATCAGGTTTTCTATTTATTTGTATCTGCACAGATTTCATACAGAAAAGTTCGTCCGACTACATTAGTACATTCTTGCATTGATTTTCAAATGATGTGGAAGGTGCAGACAAAAATTGCTTTTTTTGAGGTTGAATGCTGTATGCATGTTGAATAATCAATTAAACTAGGGGGGTTTTTCTGTTTCGTGCAAAATTTAAAATCAGTGCAAAGCGCTTTCAGCCTTAGTGCAACCTGAAAGTAAGGAACAACCGTGTAGATTAATAAACTGATGAAAAGAGGAGACTTTCCCCTGAGGGAGAACCTTAAGCCTGGTTTAGCGAGCCAGTCTTTAATGCACAATTCTTATTTCTCAAGTCACAATGCTTCCTAAGAGCCAATGCTTAATGCACACGAGTGTTTATACAGCGCGTATAACTATTTATGACAGCTGGCTGTTTGTTACTATATTATCAAATTCAAATTCAAATTCAAATTCTTTATTGATGCTATTACACAAACATAGTGCTTACACAAGTCAAAAAAATATATATCAATCAGTACATCAATATTACAAGAAAATTTAAAATAATAAAACACTCAAATCTAGATCTATATTACATCACTTTGAAACAATCAAATAAGTTTTAAAAAGTTTAACAGTTATTTATATAAGACAAACAGACAAATAAACAAATTTGACAAATTTGGCACAGTTATAAAATAAATACTAATACATGTAGTTGATGTGATTATAAACAGATTATTGTTTTTATTTTTATTTCCTTCCTTGAGTTCCCAACAAATGCAATCACTCAGAATGCATCTTGTTATTCGACCAACTGAGTGTGGAGTTGTAATATTCATCCAGGGAGTAGAAGGCTTTACTAACAAGCATATCTTTGACTTTTTTCTTAAACAACGTGTTGCTTAGGTTAATTACCTGTTCTGGTAGTTTATTAAAAAGTTTAACAGCATGGTATCCTGGGCCATTTTGACATCTTTGCAATCTATGATAGTTAGGTCTTAAATTATTTTTATTTCTTGTGTTATGGTTGTGGATATCAATAAAGCTGGTATACAAGTTAAGATGGTTTTTAACATAAACAAGATTTTGCAGAATAAACTCTGATGGCAATGTCAATATTCTGTGTTTTATAAATATGAAATATCAATTCCAATTCAAGATAAATTGTGTTTTACTTATTTATCTACGATGCAGGTAAACAACAAGATCAGCAGGCAAAATTTAAGTGGCAAATCTTGGCACTTGCAGGTTGCAAAAATATCATAAATAAATATCAAAATATCCAATATTTTATGATATATATCGGATATATATCCAATATGTGATATTTATGATATTTTCATAAAAAGTTCAATAACGGTACGTGACCCAGCTTTTTTTTTTGGTATAGCAATTTGGATTGCTATCCTAACATTACTAATTGTTGAAAATTTTCCTTCTCAGGACCGGTTTCTAAGTCAACAGTTATTCAGTTTAGCTGTTAGTTAACTGATAATTATCATTGGTTAACCGACAGCTAAACTAAATAACCGTCCACCAATAAACCGGTCCTCAAATAGGAAACACCTACGATGTTCAACTTCTGGTTACGGAAAGCCATTTGGCGTCTGGTTACATACTGGTTAATGTTAATTATCACTGACCAAATCCCCATTTCGTTACCCCTTTATAACTAATTTTCGTAACCCGGTTAACACCAAAACTCGCCCAATCTCAACTCAACCATAACTAACCCAAACTGCAACTCTATAACTGAAAACCCAGACTGTACCTAATATAAATTTTAATTTTAAACACTTTTGTAGGGATAAATATTGTGATATTTTAAAAATAAATATCGCGATGTATATCATGATATGTATCATGATATATATCAGCTGATATACATATATCCTCGCGCCTTGGGCAATTGTGACAGACTTTTAGTGCTTAATAATTCTTAAAAAGTTAAAAGTTGGTTAAATTAGTGAATTGTGAATTATACATTAAATTACGAATTAGGCATTAAATGTTGGCCGAACGGCTACACATAAAACTGAAGTCTTAAAATTAAGCATTGAGAGATAAGAATTGTGTATTATACACTAGAAGCTGGCTCACCCAGGCTTTAAAAGTATTGAAACCTGACAAAGTAAGTTAAAATACTTTTGAGATTCTCACTCAAGCCAGATTGAAACGGTCCAAATGAACTTGGATGAGAACTAGGTCTAAGTAAGTGGGCAGCCACCCTACTTACTTGGATGTTAGGCCCTATCCGACTGGACTTGGACTATCCAAGTATTGTCCAATTAAAGGGCGCGCAGCCTCTAAGGGTACTTGATCCAAGTACACTTGGACCGTTTCAACCTGGCCTCAGGGAAAAGTTCGCCGCCCCCAGCCCTTTCTCATCAGTTTATTAAATTAAAAGGTTTTTCCTTACTTACATGTTGCCCTAATGATGGCCTAAACCCGAAAGCGCATTGCACTGATTTAAATAAAACAAATTTTGCATGAAATACAGAAACAATAGCACATTCATCCTTACAGAAATTCTTATGCCAAACTGCCTGAGGGCCGATCCTCGAGAGAACAAATTTTTCGTGTTTATCATTCTCATTTACTTTTCGATTTCGTTGACAAAGACATTCGTTCTATCGGGAAGCTCTTCTTCCTGGCCCGAGGATCGGGCTTCTGGTGCAAGACTAGGAGAAGTTGTTCAAGTTTATGCAAAACCAAGTGAAAAACCCTGTACATGCGCTTTATTAATTAACAGCACCACTCAAAAACTGAAAATAACAATTTCTTACTTGCAGTAAAGTACAGTTTAATTTGAGCTTATCATCCAACACATGTAACAATGTAGAAGAGTTTCTGGCAACTCGGTGCATTAAATCTGAATATTCTGGGATGGTTATTAGTAATTTTGATGAAGAATCATTGGCATAGTATAAAAGTAGGGTTTTGGGGTGAAGAGGACTAACAGGAATGGCTAAAAATCACAAAATTAGGTTAAATGTCAGAAGATATCTTTAGTCCTGAATCCTGACCTATTTGTCCAGACATCCAAATAGCCCACAAAGTAATAACATATTGAACATCATTGGGGCAAAGAAACATAACTTTTTGATTGGTTTTGCCATCCAAAAGGCCAGTAATCTCTTTAGAAAGCTCATTGGCGCTCATAAATATATTTGCATAGGTGTAGGCTATATTGAAAACAGAAATCAATTTAAAAAAAGTGGAAATTTAGGAAAAACACAAGATAGATACCTGCTATCCGATCTCGTACAGCAATATTATTAGGGAATAATCGAGCATTCCGAAAAACTGGCCCTGCGGCCAAATGACCTAGAGGCTGCTGGGGCTTTTTTATTTTAGAGGCTATTTTTGCCTGAGTCTGTTGAAAACGCCTATTTATATAAAATATTGGTCTGCCTAAGAACCGAGACATTTTCTCACTACAAACTGTACAAACAAGCTGTAGATTGTGATGAGGGAGGCTCTGTAACTCTGTGGATGGAATTTAATACTGCAGAATCAATTCAGCACTGTATTTTCAGTCATAAGTATATGCTGATTTTGTAGTCCGAATGTCGTTTGATTGTTCGCTTTATTTTTTTGCAAAATACTCCGATTTCATTCAAATATATAAATAAAAATAGAACGATAGATAAAAACTTCAAACTTCAGTTGTCAGTCACTGAGGTTGATGACGGCTATGCTCCGATATCAGCCGCTTTCCAGCTGACCATTTTGAGCACGCAATCGAGCTTTTGCGTGCGCAAATGCTTTAAGCGCGTTTCGTGTTCTAGCCGTACTGCGCTTCGAGAGCTGCTAACTTTTGCGTTTCAAACACAGAACACTGTGCTGCACCGTGCTTGAGGCACACAGCTGGAAAGCGGCTATCAACTGGGGCGAGTTCAGGAATGATACACCCAGTGTGAGTGTGACACCGGTGCGACGCCCTAGCTGTTCAAAAATGGTAAATGGTGCTATGGGCCCAATGGCCAATTGTCAAATCAGGCACACCCATAAAATCGCACTCGCACCCTGTGCGTTATTTCTGAACTCGGCCCTGCCAGTACGGATTTACTGTGCTGATTATACTGTCATTTGCCGTTCCGATTTCAACAGTGTAGTCTTGTGGTAATTTAGTACTGAATCGACTGAATCCAGTGTACTGAAAATAATATCGGAACGGCGTCCAGTGAATTCAGTACTGACAGTTGATATCGGAACATTGGCGACGACTGTTGAAAATTCGAAACGGCTGTGTTTTAAGCCTAGTACTCATAACTGCGAAATTCGCATTTTTTTGGCATTGCGTTGACAATTCGACGTTTCATGCGTGTACCAAACGTCAAATTGGCGAAGCAATGTCAAAAAAATGCGAATTTCGCAGTTATGAGTACTAGGCTTTAGATTGCGCTCGGAGTACGCTCGCAGTACTCGGAGTAGACGGAATATCGTATCGCAACATCTGAGCATAATGAATATTTGATTATCCTCGAATCCTCGCGAAAAATTGCCTAATTTAGAAATTACGTGCCTGTCAAAATTTCGGAGCAAATCGACGATATAGTTGTATTCTTTTCAAGAGCTTGAAACACTAGAGCTACTCGCTCCGGTGTTAGTCGACCCCGATTTGAAAGGAACAGATGCGCTGGCTTGCATGCATTTAGTTGTATTCCTTTCAAGAGCTTGAAACACTCTAGCTACTCGCTTCGGTGCTTAGTCGCCCCCGATTTGCAGAGAACATATGCGTGGTGCAACAAACACTTTTCGAAAGGAATAAGCGCGTGAAGCCCCGGAGCTGTTCCGGAGCTCCTCCTAGGTGTGAAAGGAATACAACTAATGGTTTGAGTCGGGCTTCAGCACTCAGGTGCAACCAATGAACTATAGCCAAAAACTGGAATGCGCACACATTGCCATATCTGCCAAAAAAATGTAGCCATGAAAGACAGATGCCATAAGGGGGAATGTTGTTTTTTTCTGTTGCTCGCTGACATATGACGTTTTCGAAAGATTTGTCATATTTTCCTTCACAGGTTTCATCAATTGGAATACGTGTTGGAAGCAATTTCCGCCATTTAACATAATGAGTGCGACAGAAACAGGTTTCCCCTCCGCAGCAGCGGCACTAGGCTTCACGTTCTTCAATATGTGTACACATTCCAGTTTTTGGTTATAGTTCATTGGGTGCAACATAGTTCATTGGGTGCAACAAACACTTTTCGAAACGAATAAAGCTGGATTTTCATGCATCCGTTTTTCCGACGAAAGATGTCCGAAAAACATTCTATTCTGACATAAGCCGCTTTCCAGCTGTGTGCTTCAAGCACGGTGCAGCACAGTGTTCTGTGTTTGAAACGCAAAAGTTAGCAAGCTCTCGAAGCGCAGTACGGCTGGAACACGAACACGCGCTTGAAGCATTTGCGCGCGCAAAAGCTCGATTGCGTGCTCAAAAGCGTCAGCTGGAAAGCGGCTATAATCGTATAAAAATATGTCAAAATAGAAGATTTTTCGGACAATTTCGTCGGAAAACGGATGCATGAAAAGTAAGCCTGAGCGCGTATTGCGTTAACGCCTCGCAGCTGTTCCGGAGCTCCTCCTAGGTGTGAAAGGAATACACTGAGATGACAAAAACGAACACGGCTTAGGTACAAAATAGAACAAGAAACTAAAAAAACATATATTTTCGATAATATTCTGCTATAATTAATTGTATAAGCTTCGATGTATAGGTCGCGTTCACCAGCACTCAACATGTTGGGTGATCAGTAAGCAGCTTTGTTCAACGAATGGAATACACAAGGTGGAACAGTTTTGATTGGCCTAGAGCTGATTTTCATCTGTTTTCAACAAAGCCGCTGACTAATCACTCAACATGTTGAGTGCTGATGAACTCGACCTTGCTGCAGCGTTGGGATATACTGTGTATATAAACCATGGGTTAGATACAAAAAATACACGCTGGCGACATCAGGAAATTTTTCGCGAGGATAATCAAGCATAATCTGATTATGCTGGGTTATGTAATGTGTCAATTGTGTCATACTCTCCTAACTTCCTCTCCATTGAATTCTGGGCCTGCGAGTGACGTCCCTATCAGCAGCTTATAGCAATGAACTATAAACTACACGTACCTGGAATCGCCCGCCGATCTATAAATTTGCGGCACATTGAGATGGAGAATGTGGGGGATACTTATCTCTACTTATCTTATTGGCGAATTATGGAAATCTATCCTTGTCTAAAAAATATTAGGTCTGTTTCTGCAGAAATCACAAACCAGTCAGAGTGAATTTCATTGGTTGAAACTAGTTTCCTGACTGTTTCTGACTGTTTTCAACCAATGAAATTCGCTCTGACTAGTTTGTGATTTCTGCAGAAACAGACCTATTAAAACGCTTTACGATTGTTCGGCTGAACACTACGTTGAATTTGTGTTGGAACCAATCGTGTTTTCAAACGGTCCCCATTTTTGCAAGCATAAATTGAAATGTTCATAATTTCCTACACTAAGGTGCTTTCCAGTGACCCACATGAGTTACTCCTGAGCAGTGCAGTGCTCCACAATTACTTCGCGGGTTCCAGTGCTGTTCTTATTGTAAAATATTTAATAACCTGGTCAATTTTTACATATTAAATAGGTAATAAGGGTAATGGAGGGCTACGAAGAACTATTGATGTACAGGAAAAATATAATAAAATGTCAAATAAAAGCGGTCAGACGTCACAAGCTACCACCCACCACATGAGAATGTTCCAGTGTTTCTTATGTCGAACAGTTCAAGAGAGTCACACTCCAGAGAGGAGTATGATAATCTAAAGGCCGTTTTACAGCTTGCAAGAGAACTTGAATGCAATTTTTTGCATGCAAAAAAATTGCATTCAAGATTTCTTGCACGTCGTTTTACACCTTGCAATTTGACTTGTTTCTTTCTCTAACTTTAACCATATTTTTTCTTTTTAATGTTGTGTTGTTGATGTTTGCATTTTCCAAATATAAAAATTGGTTAAAGTCGATATAAAAAGAAGAAAGCAGTAGCAGCAACTTTGAGCATCATAATTGCTTAAGGCCGTTTTACAGCTTGCAAGAAAACTTGAATGCAATTTTTTGCATGCAAAAAAATTGCATTCAAGATTTCTTGCATGTCGTTTTACACCTTGCAATTTGAGTTGTTTCCTTCTCTAACATTAACCATACTTTTTTGTTTTTAATTTTGTGTTGTTGATGTTTGCATTTTACAAAGATGAAAAAAGTTATTATAAGTCGGTATACAAAGAAAAAACTATAGCAGCCACTTTAAGCATCATAATTGCTAAAAATTCCCCAGCTTGCGCGAAGGCTTTCAAAAAAAATGGCACCAAACCGATTGCATGCAATGCCATTCAAGTTTCAAGAATCTTGCAGAAAACAATCAGCAGACTCACTTCTGCGCATGCCCTCGTTCAAGTTTCTTGCATATTGCAGATAGAATTGCAAGCTGTAAAACGGCCTTTAAAAATTCCCCTGCTTGCACGAAAACCTTCAAGAAAATTGGCACCGAATCGATTGCATGCAATGCCATTCAAGTTTCAAGAATCTTGCAGAAACCATTCAGCTGACTCACTTTTGCGCATGCCTTCGTTCAAGTTTCTTGCATATTGCAGATAGAATTGCAAGCTGTAAAACGGCCTTAACAATTTAGGCACTGGAAAGCAGCTTTAGGTACAGTGACTCTATTACCCACAGTGGCGACAATTGCTGTCTTATTTTTGATTGGTTCTGAAATCCCATATATTTATATTGAAAACGCCGCCATCTTGTTCCCAACCTCTTATTCCTTTTAAATATGAATATATGGGATTTAGGTGAACATCCATCATAAAACAGGGAAAACAACGTATTTGATAGACCTAATAACGGTTATCAAATATATCGATTTCAATTTTTTATGATAGATGTCCATTTAAATCTTATATATCAATATTTAAAAGTAACAAGAGGTTGGGAACAAGATGGCGGCGGGACCTCTATTGTCTCCACTGTATGTAAAGGTTTATTTAGCCACTGTAGCTTTAGGAACATGCGATTTGTGTTATTTGTGGTGGCATGTCATTCAGAGGGTGACGTTCTATGATTTTGAAAAGTTGAATCGTTCAGCAGAACCTAGAGTTTACCCAACGTATTCTGTTGGTATTTGTAGAATGTTTACAGCCCGTTTTGGTACTGATGAACGCAGCCATAGATTGACGCGATGTAAGACGTAACCGAAAAGCTTCACATTACGCCAAACAATAAACAGAACAACAAAACGAACGACGATCGAAACACTACAGAACAATACAGTGGCTAAATAAACCTTTACATACAGTGGCGACAATAGAGGTCCCGCCGCCATCTTGTTCCCAACCTCTTGTTATTTTTAAATATCAATATATAGGATTTAAATGGACATCTATCATAAAAAATTGAAATCGACGTATTTGATGACCATTATTAGGTCTATCAAATACGTTGTTTTCCGGGTTGTATTTCATGATTTATGATGGATGTTCACCTAAATCGCATATATTCATATTTAAAAGTAACAAGAGGTTGGGAACAAGATGGCGGCGTTTTCAATATAAATATATGGGATTTTAGAACCAATCAAAAATAAGACAGCAATTGTCGCCACTGTGGTAATAAAGTCACTGTACAGAACACCGAACCCAATAGCAAGAACGGCGATCGGCCTTTTTCGATTTCGACGATCCGAACCTCAAACGCGTTCGTGGGTTTTAAGGGTGGGTATTATAAAACTATTTTGACAGTTAACTTGAAAGTTAACTTCTGGAATGATGTTACTTCCCATAGTAATTCCACAAGTTAACTTTTTGCTATCTGTCAAACTTAGTTTTATAATACCCGCCCTTAAGAGATGGGAATGCCGCAAACCATTCGACGAACGGCCTGGATTTTTGAACCGGTTTGCAAACGCATTCGTAGTCCCGTCCAAATTCTTAGTGTTTCGTTCGTCGTTCGGTTCGTTGTTCTATTTGTTGGTCGACTTGATGTTCAAGTCTGTACGGGTCTACAGGATTTGCGAACCCGTTTGGAAACACGTCCAAGTTTTCGATCGTCGTTTGGTTCGTTCCGTTGGTTCTGTTTGGTGTTCGGCGTAATGTTCAAGTCTGTACGAAGCTGATACTCCGTTGCGTGTAGTGTAGACCATGCTTAACGATTTACTTGTCGTTGCGTGTAGACAGCGCTATAGATGTTTTCATTTTCTGAATCCTCGGTGGTCGGTGATTTTGAGGTTATAACATAACATTTAACTTGAAAATATCCAGAAAACCATCCCTAATCCATCTGGTCCTCAAATAGCTTCTGAAACGAAAAAACTGAGAAGAAATGAGGTTTTCCCTATATTCATTAATAATTATTGTAACATGCTGTATATATAATACAAAATCGGAACTCGAATTAATGCAAGATGACGAGTTAATGCAATTAATACGTACTGAAAAGTATGTAGTTGCTCTCTTTACAAGTAAATTCTGCGGAGAGGAGTGTGAAAATTATGAGAACGAACTGACTGGGCTAAGGGAGGATTTGGTGGAGAGTTTGAACGCTTGGGTCGTGAAGCTGGTTGATAGTTCCATGACTCGACTATATACCCCTGATAAGGTGAGAATTTTGTGCTGACATTGTTTGCCTGAAAATACCCTAGTTTCCTATATTACCATAAGTTTGTTTCTGCAATGCATTGCCTAGTTGTGAGGTATCTGGTCTTCACTTTCCATAAGTTATAAACAGTACAGAGCATCAGCTATTCAAAGGGTTCAGGAAAGGCAGGGTTCGTCATCATAGTGTAATACTTTTGTAGGAAATACAAAGTATTCAAAATGGGGTGATGGACCATGATAGAGTAGGTAGTTTATTCTTAAATAACCTACAATGGTACTTACACTAATAGAAACTTGCAGTGTTCAAAATAATTAATTCTAAAAATAAAGTAATTTTGTTTAATCAACATTCCAGGAACCAGCCTTAGTATTCTTTCGCCACGGCATCCCATTGCTATATTCAGGCCCTTTAAATGACGAGCTCATCTTCCACACATTTACCCAAAACCAGGAACCTGCAGTCAAAGAACTTGATGATGACACTTTCGAGCATCTAACCCAAGCCGCTTCAGGTGCAACCACTGGTGATTGGTTTGTCCAATTCTACACTACTGACTGTGTTGACTGTCAACGATTACAAGCTAGGTGGGAAGCTGTGGGCGCGCAGCTTAAATCTCGAGGAATGAATGTGGCGAGAGTAAATAGGGCTACAACAGGGGCAAAAACTGCGAGAAGGTTCAACGTATTTGAGGTTCCTGCATTTGTATTGTTTAAAAAAGGCAAAATGTACAAGTATCATAACCAGGAGTTTGGTGTAGCAGCTTTGGTCGCATTTGCACAAGATTGGTAAGTAATACATCACTCTGATCAATATTTTTCAGGCTACAGCAAAAAGTGACACTATACCTTTATAACTCGTTAGGTACAAAAATATGAAACCTGAACCAGTGCCAGTACCCAAGTCACCTTTTGATGATCTGGTAGCGGCAACAGTAACATTTATGAAGGACAACCCTTACTTGTGGCAGGTGGGATTTGCCAGTCTCCTTCTGGGTGTTGTTCTATCTGGCTTCCTGAAATTCTGTAGAAACAAAAAAGAAAAAACTGACAAAGGTAGCCTGAAAGGTCAAAGTCAAAAATCGAAAAGTGGTGCCAGTAAAAAGAGTGCTAAAAAGGAATAGTGAAATAATTTTGTATGTTTTTTACCTTAGGTTTTTACTAAGTATATATTTTTTGAACCTTAGTTTTGGAAATAAAGTTTATTGTTGGCCCTATTTATAAATAATCGTCTGTCATTTTTGTAACCAATGTTTTCAGGGCTGCCTACGAGGATTGAAGCTAAGCATGAGATGTTTTGTAGGTGTTGAAACCAGGGCATAATTCTACATTGCATACAAAAATGTACATACATATTATGCTTTGTGTGTTGTGCGTCGTTCAAAAAGCAAAACATCCAAACTGCAGAATTTCAGATGTAAAAGATCGAAAGTGCAAAATATCGTTTCTTGTTTAGCCACTTCACTGTATTCATTCAGCAAAAGAAGCAGTGCAGAGCAGCTCCTACACAAACAGAAATGACATAAGATTGGTTGTCGGAATGCTCATCGGGCAATGCTCAATCAAATAATAGGTCTGTTTCTGCAGAAATCACAAACCAGTCAGAGTGAATTTCATTGGTTGAAACTAGTTTGCTGACTGTTTCTGACTGTTTTCAACCAATGAAATTCAGACCTATTACTTGGGGCGAGACCTGAGGGCAATAGGAAAGGCAGAAGATGACAACTGCAGATTTCGCAGTCACAGAAACTAATATTTTCACGGATTCCGGGTTCATTAAAAATCTCTTCACAAACAGTAACAAGTTTTTTCTTTTATTAAACAAATTCACTTCTCACTTATCAAAACATACCTACACAACAAATCTCGTATTAAAAATAAACTTAAACTCATCACTAGTACACGCTATCTATAGGCGAAATCGCACTCCGGATCTAGAAAAACATTGAATCAAATATAATAGAATTCCCAGAAAAAGCGCACTGCCCGATGTAAACAAGTAATTAGAATCCTAGCCGGGTTGTCGATGCGTTTTCGTAACACTGCCTTCAAGATGTACCACCTTCATCTCACCTTTGGAGCCGCGTTGGATTCGAATCGTGTATCATATGAGCTTGGGAGATCTACTTTTTCACTAGGGATTTTTTTAGAAAAAATCTGATGGCAGATTCTTGTTTAGAATGGACTAAAACCCAAATTTACTAATTTTTGTTTCAATATGATACAGGCTGATCACAACAAATTTTCAAAATTTAATGGACCAAACCAGAAAAATTTCATATTTTGAGGCCTTGAGAACCACAAAACTTGATACTACGTAGTTTTAGAACATCCTTAACCAAAACTTCAATATGGTAACTTTAGAGAAAAGACGCCAGTAACAGGCTGTATTGTTTATATATTATATTATCAATAACATCAAATACAAAGATATCTTTCTAGTCAACAGTATAAAAATACTAGTACCTAAGATTAACCTGAGGATAAACAGTAGGAAGTTATTTTCTGTTGATAAGATGGATTGTTCAGTTATCAACAGAATGCTTAAAGAGTGTAATGATTTTATTGAAATGAGCAACATAGACCTATTGAACACTGATCTCAAGGCTATAAAAGCAACATTTTATACCTAGTTTGTATTTTGTAACACTCTTTCTGTCGTTAGTGTCATTAGTTTTTAAGTTTTAAAATTTTATTTATTGCTAATTTTTGTTTTTTGTAACTAGATTTAAGATATTTTAAAGCACTCTCTCTCTCTCTTACTTATAATTACTATACCAATTGTGTTTGTAAGAGTAACCTAAATAAATAAATAAATAAATAAATAAAAACTTGTAGTAAGCTTGCCTCAAAATATAACATTTTTGCGGTTTGATTCATTAAATTGTGAAAATTTGTTGTCATCACCCTGTATCGTATTGAAACAAAAATTGGTACATTTGGGTTTTAGACCATTCTAAACAAGAATCTGCTATCAGATTTTTTCTTAAAAAATCCCTAATAGTACCTACTCATTGAAATTTGAGCCTGTGAATGTGAACACCTTGTACACCAGTACAGCCGCAGAAATAAAATACGGGCCTAATAAGTTGCAAATTCGAGTAGATATAAGACAAAAAAAAAATTGAATCGGTTAAAAAATAGGTAATTTCTTAAGCGGGAGACACTGTATATCTATATATATAAAACACAGTTGTGTTGGTATTTGAGCACTTATAACTCGAGAACGGCTGGACTGATTTTTATGATTTTTGCTTTATTGGATTTGTCTTTGTCCATCCTAGGATAATAAATCGAAAAAACCAAAAAAAAAAAACAAAAATTTATCTATTTTACTTATTTATGAAAAAAACTCACTAAGCCCGCATACGGCGTCATCTCTTATAACCGATACCAAGTTTACCGTCACATTTTCATTGCAAACCATGTGGATTTTATTGTCACACACTTTGCACAAAAACAATTTGAGGAAAGCACTTTATTTTTAATTGTTCTTCACAGTAAAAATGTCCAAAAATAAATAGAATGACAATGTTTTAATTGTGTATTTTATTTTGTTGTTGGTTCCAAGAGTTTACGATTCTTGGTTGGTTCGTTCATTCCGAAAGAGCGCGAACTGGTCTCCCTGTCATTTCTTGACGCTTGACCATTGACGTTCTGTGGCTAAGTTCCGTTGCTCCTCTTAGGGATCCCTTGACAGCCGTGTTCCGTGGCGACTGTTCGGAGTGCTCCGTCCGGCTGGTGTCGAGTGGCAGAGAGCCAGGTTATGAGTCCGCCACAACCATTTTGTATACGGCGCCATATATGATAGGTACCTAGAACGAAGCTCGCCGTTGTGCGGTAATTTCATTGCAGATACAGTAGAACAGAATACTGCTAAGGAACTGGAGCCAAACAGAACTATTCCACTATTCCGATCAGATAAAGTGGTGCAGAAAGAGTGGATCAGATAGAATAGTGCAGATACAGTAGAACAGATGGAGTATTGCAGTGCATGCAGTGCAGATAAAATGAAACAGGGCTGCGCTGGAGATTTTTTTTGTTTTCTTTACATTTTTTGAACATTCCTGTGCCTGAGTTTATTTATTTGGTGGTACACTTTATAAGAATAATGCCCACAAGATGCCTAAAAAGGGATGATGTAAAATTTTAATTTTAGGTGACTTCTGATCCAGAGAGTAAAAATTAATTTTCTTCGACCAAAGCCAAATTCACCATCGAAAAAAACTGAATTTAATTCAGTTAATAGATACGTTAACACAACATTTAATAGGTATTTAATAATTCAGAGGAGGTACGAAGTTCGCCGGGTCAGCTAGTAGAATATAAAGTTATAATTTGTATCAGCAAGTCCTAATAATGACGCAATAATCTTGGTTCCTTTATAATTGTGAGATTGTGCCAAAAGTTTAATAATCTAATCATCCAGTGCATCATCGCAATTCGGAAAACTGCACTCACTCTCATAATCCTGTACAATCTTGTAATGGGAGACATTGTACTACAATGTCTCCCATTACAAGACATTCGAGGGGTCTTTATGGAATTTACATAAAAACTAGTGTTTAATTTCACAGGTCCATAACCTAACTTTTAAATAATTATGTTTTATGTTTCTCTAGTTGCAAGAAAACGCAATGTAAAGTTTAGTCAAAAGCGTGTGTTACGAGTGAAACTAATAATAATATACTGAAAAATATATAAAATTTTATATAGACAGTAGACAGGTTATCTAAAATATTTTATTATAGCATATCTGATAGGCATTAGGATCTTCCCATTTTATTTCTCTATTTATACATTATAATAGGGATAACAAACTATCGATAGGAATATCGATACTATCGATAGTTTTTTAATTTTCGATAGTATCGATAGACCTGTACCAATATCGATAGTTCCAATGTAGCCAAAGGTAAATGAAAACATCTGTATATTGAGGGAATTATAAAGAAATCTGTAGTTTTTTTGAGAAATCTGTAATTATTTTTGGGGATAGACATGCTGTGCTGCCAATTTTCCGGTTAGGAGAAATGACGAGTGACTTTGATGGACTTGATGGAGGTTGGAGGTTAATGTTTATCGTAATTAATTACAAATTTGGTTACTTTCGTCAGAGCAAACTATCGATAGTACAATCGATAGTTACTATCGATGGGTAGGCCATTCTATCGATATCACTATCGATAGTTTTTTTTCGATAGTTTGTCAACCCTACATTATAATACCAGCCCTTCAGATGTTCACCAAGTGGTTTTGAAGGTATGACAGGAATATACAGGGTGTCACGAAAGGTTTGTTACAAACTTCTAGGGATGGTAGACCTCGTAAAAATAAAACTTTTTTCTTGATAAACATGTGTCCGGAAATGATTCGTTTTCCAGATATACAGGGTGGCCCAAATTTAAGCCTCATCATTGGGATCTCGGTAACCGTAAGAGATAGGGGGTCGGTTAAATTAGGGCAAAGTTGCGGAATTTTATGACCAATAGAATACCGTTTTGAAACTAGAAAGATTCCGTATACTTCCGGAGATATTCGGAAAAAAACAAAATTTTTCCCGGGCTTATTTGAAAAGCAATTTTAAAATAAATGTCACTTCATCATTGCCACTTCTTCCCCTTTAGAAGATGGTGGTACTAAATTTAAAATTCGACGTTTCGTCTTCAAGCGGCCATCCTTAACTTACGTTTTTTAAATACGAACCTAGATTTTTTATTTGCGATTTTGTCATCTTTGGACATCCTAAAACCGATACTGTTTATAATTTTTCAATAACAAGGTAAAAAAGCAGGTCCGTATTTGAAAAACGTCGGATTTCAAATTTTATACTGCCATCTTGTAAAGAAGAGAAAGTGACAATGGGAATGTGAAATTAGTTTTTCAAAATCTTTTTAAATGAAATCAGGAAAAAATTTAAGAAAAACGAGAAATTCATGTTTTTTTCGTATAGTTTTCATTTTTTCCTGATTTTATTTAAAAAGATTGTGGAAAACTAATTTCACCTTGCCATTGTCACTTTTTCTTCTCTACAAGATGGCGGTATTAAATTTAAAATCCAATGTTTCGTTCCTCTGTAATCATCATAATTTTTTTTTTTAAATACGGACCTGCTTTTTTTGCTGTGTTATTGAAAAATTATAAACAGTATCGGTTTTAGGATGCGCAAAGATGACAAAATCGCAAATAAAAAATTCAGGTCCGTATTTAAAAAAAGGAACTTGAGGATGGCCGCCTGAAGACGAAACGTTGAATTTTAAATTTAGTAGCACCATCTTCTAAAGGAGAAAAAGTGACATTTATTTTAAAATTGCTTTTCAAATAAGCCCGGGAAAATATAAAAACGATTTTACAAAATTTTGGTTTTTTCCGAATACCTCCGGAAGTATTCGGAATCTTCTAGTCTAGTTTTAAAACGGTATTCTATTAGTCATAAAATTGCGCAACTTTGCCATAATTTAACCGACCCCGTATCTCTTACGGTTACCGAGATCCCAATGATGAGGCTCAAATTTGGGCCACCCTGTATATCTCGAAAACGAAGCATTTCCGGACACATGTTTATTAAGAAAAAAGTGTTATTTTTACGAGATCTACCATCCCTAGAAGTTTGTAACAAACCTTTCGTGACACCCTGTATATACAGTTCTCCGCTAGTTTGACTGAGTTAACAAAAAATTCAAGTTTGTAACAGGTATTGAATAAATATAATGGAAGTTGAGTGGAGTTGACATTTTCCATTACGGATATAAATATCCGCCACTCGGATGACTCAATTCAAACTTTGTATTTCTCACACAAGAAACTTGAAAACAATAGTGCTAAAATAGAGACAATTATAGGTAAAGTGCAACACAATAATATTTATCGTTCAAATTGGGCGCTGGCCACCCTATTCCAGCCCCTTATGAAAAGACTGTAGCCAATTTTCCCTGAACGGATTTTCCATAAAATATTCGTTTTCCGACAGCTACAAAAACCAGGTCCATCAAGTCTAATCCAAAATGACCCAAAAAAAAACTTCAAAATAAAAGTGAACAATTTATTAATAAATACATTAATGGGCGTAATTTAACTAGCCTGGCGATGAGAAAGGTATTTTTTTAATGATAATACATATTAATAATAATCGTTTAGAAAAACCAATAGGTACCTACTAAAAAAATTTGGCACACTAAACAATATTAAAAATTAAATACATCTATTGCTTACTTGTAGCAATCTTATAGCTATTCATAAAATTAACAGATAAGAACTTTGATGTGATTCCTTCAATATTTTTTAAATTATTTTTTTGTTTTATTTGAAGACATATACAATGACAAACCCCTATTTAAGCAATGCACATCTCACTCCAATCCCACAACTAAACTAGCCTGTTGACAAACTAGGGTCATATAAGATAATTAATAAACCCGCCCGGAACAGTTACTTGTAATTATTGTAAATTTCTTTTCTTAGTATTGATCATTTTGCTTTCTTCCCAATTGTGTATACCTTATTAAGTTAAGCTATACAGGTTCAATTTGAACAGCGGCATGATGGATCACTACCTACTTTAAATTCAAATTCAAAACAGCTTTATTAAATGAAGACCAATACAATACACTCATTATCAAAGTGATAATAATCCGATAATAAATTCTCAATACTAGAACACACTACAAATAACATTCAATTTTTAATAAGACCAAGCAGACCTTCAAAAACAAAATTAAGTAAAATCCAGTCGAATCAGATCATACCAACAATAAAATACACATTTTGAACAAAACGATTAGGGACATTTTTTCACAGTGGTTCTATTCTATGTACCTTATTGAAAAAAAAATTAAGCTTTGACAGAAAAACTGCAACAAGACTACCCTAAAAAAAAAAGAGTGGTTATTATTCAGGTATTATACCCATTCTGCACAGGCGAGTTTATATTGTCGGATTATAGGTCAGCAGTTTGTGGACAGGCTAGGTTCATGGTGTCATCAAGATCTTCTACCTGCTGTCAGGCGAGTTCAATGCCGCCCAAATTAATATACCTTTATTTCTTTCAAGGTCGGTTTCTCAATAGCGGGTCACCTCCGGGTTGGATTTAACTCCAGGGCAAACGTGCCCAGTTGCAATGTTTACTCTGTAGTTATGCTTAACCCGGGGGTGACTTGCTATTGAGAAACCGACCCTCAGAGAAATAAAACAGGCTTTTCTTTTACACATTCAAAAATTATATCAAATATAAAAATACTATTTTATCAGAAATATCTAACCTAAAAACTATGTAGGGTTATTATGTTTTATGTGTATTGAATTCTTAGATTATTAAATCTCATTATTCATTAATTGAAATTTATGAGATGCAACGAAAAAAAAAGAAATTCCAGGCAAGCTTTGTATGGGAGATTAAACTACAAAACGTCTTTTTTTTTTTAAATCATCAATATCAGCTTGAGCAGATAGGTTAATTCAAAAAGCCAGCATTTTCTGGTGTAGATACTAGGGCACCTTGGACCAAGGTGATTCGTAATACATTCATACTGCGTGCCCTAGATTCTAGGGAAATTTTGAGAAACGTGGCAACGTCGCACGATCATTTTATCAGGGATATTGTGCGTATCGAACTGTAAAAGTATAGGTATTTATGTCATTAGGCCAAGAAGTGAGTCTTTTAGTGCTGAGCTCGAGCACAAAAACACCTTCTGTGCCTTGGGACTGCAATATTTCCTTTCACAACTAAATCACTGCTTTGCTTCATCCATTTTCCGAAAAATAAAAGGCTGCCCACTATAAGGTCTGTTCCAACACGTCAAAAACGGACCCCTGAATGACTTCGAAACCGTTCTGTAAAGAGTTTCGGATTCAACGGTCAAATTTTAGGTTTTGCGCAGAATCGTGACATTAAATTGTTCATTTTCCTGCTGTGTTGGAACAAAGCCTTAATTAACATCAATTCAAATTCAATTCGAAATAAGCTTTATTATCTTAAGACAATAGTCTTTTTATAAACAAAAGTATACTATCATTACTATTAAAAATTTGAGATCCAACATAAAGAAATGCAGACTTTTTGAACAAACAGAAAAAATAAAGGTAAAAAAAGTAGGAAAAAAATAAAATAAAAATATAAAGGGCTTCGCACTCATCTCATGGCAAATGACTTTCGGTGGAATTCTCTAAAATTTGGATATGTTGCGCTTCTTGAGATCATGAGACCATTCATTATTCATTTTCATGACATGTAAGTACTTTCCTGATGTCTCAATCTGAGGCCGTAAATGTCATTTCAGCATTTTTATAAATTGATAAGAACTTGCACCTGATATCTTCCAACTTACCATAACTGGAAAATGTTCATTTCGTTGGAATTTTTTGGGCAAATTATATTCTTTCTTAGGACTGTCCAGGAGCACAACATAATATCCAAATTTTAAACAATTTCACCAAAAACTATTTTCCATAATATTACGGCGGGGTAATTTGTAGGAAACCTTGAATGGTAAAAGCAAAGTCTAGAAGTACCATTTGAGGTTTCCTACAAATTACCCCTCCGTAATAATATGGAAAATGGTTTTTGGTGAAATTGCTTGATAGCAAGCCTAAATTTAACAATCACTTTTCCATAGTTTTATGGTTTTGTCACTTTCTAAAGCTGCTGATGCGATTATATTTTCAGTTGGGTGACATGTCGTACAAAGTACTACATCTGTGTGACCCTGAAACAGAGAAAAAATGCATATTATGTTTCAGGAAATGACCACAATCAACAAATAGTTAAAATACATATTTTTTTCTGAGATTCACAAGAAATGTCAGCATTTTTGACCGGTCGCAAAACTCAATATTCTGGTATTTCAATTATTTTTCAATAGTTGCTGAGGAATCAATAAATAACAATACGGGAATCAGTGTTTGCCGGCCTCGGCTACGTCTCGCCCGTCAACTTACACCGTCGGCCGAGAATGTGTCACTTTTCCACCTAAATACACAATATACTATTGTTTTAAGCTTGCGGCATTTGCAAATCCAGGCAAAGCCGAGAGGTGCACGTTTTGTGCCCAAAATCGATACATGGAACATTAAAGGCTCATTAAAGGCTAATTAAATGCCCTAATGAGAAATTTTAGGCTCCTTGAATTTTCGTGAAAATTAGCGTTCTGCTAGCTTTAACCAGCAGAACATGAGCGAAAAAGTGGCTAGAACAACAAATATTGCAATTCCAATTGCACAGGCACTAAAGGCTCATTGAAGGCTCTCGAAATACACCAATCCCAAATTTCAGGCTCAATTACTTTTTTTTTGTGAAAATGCAAAAAGCGCGATGCTTGAGTGATGTCGGCCAAGCATGGCAGAAAACCTCTCAGACAGTGAAAATCAGTGTTCTGGTAGTGCAGTCGTAGTGAATACATTAAAGGCTAATTAAATCCTCTTATGAGAAATTTTAGGCTCTGCTAGTTTCCGCGAAAATGGCTATACTGCTAGCTTTAACCTAAGCCAGCAGAACATGAGTGAAAAAGTGGTCACAATAACGAAAATCGCAATTCCACTTGCACAGACATTGAAGGCTCATTAAAGGCTCCGGAAATTCACCAATCGCGAATTTCAGGCTCAATTACTTCTGTGATTTAGTGAGTTTGGAAAAGTCTGATTAAAATTGCTAAGTACCCAAACTAACCTGATTATTATTGGTAAGTTTAGAAATGTCTGAAATTCGCGATTGGTGTATTTCCGGAGTCTTTATTGAGCCTTGAATGTCTGTGCAAGTGGATTTGCAATTTCTGTCGTTTATCCACTTTTTTGCTCAGGTTCTGTTGGCTTAGGTTAAAGCTAGCAGAATAGCCATTTTTGCAGAAACTAACAGAGCCTAAAATTTCTCATTACAGCATTTAATTAGCCTTTGATGTATTCACAACGACTGCACTATTGGAACACTGATTTTCACTGTCTGACAGGTTATTCCGCCATGCTCTGCCGACATTACTCACATATCGCCACTTTTCGCGTTTTCACAAAAAAAGTAATTGAGCCTGAAATTCGCGATTGGTGTATTTCCAGAGCCTTTAATGAGCCTTTAATGTCGGTGCATCTGGAATTGAAATTTTCTTTGTTTCAACCACTTTTTCGCCCATGTTCTGCTGGCTTAGGTTAAAGTTAGCAGAATAGCTATTTTGTGCGAAAATTGACGGAGCCTAAAATTTCTCATTACAGCATTTAATTAGCCTTTAATGTATTCACTACGACTGCACTACCGGAACACTGATTTTCACCGTCTGAGAGGTTTTTCTGCCATGCTTGGCACGCATCGCGCTTTTTGGATTTTCACAAAAAAAAAAATTGAGCCTGAAATTTGGGATTGGTGTATTTCGAGAGCCTTTAATGAGCTTTTAATGCCTGTACAATTGGAATTGCAATGTTTGTTGTTTTAGCCACTTTTTCGTTCATGTTCTGCTGGCTTAAGTTACAGCTAGCAGAACGGTCATTTTCACGAAAATTCAAGGAGCCTAAAATTTCTCATTACGGCATTTAATTAGCCTTCAATGAGCCTTTAATGTTCCATGTATTGATTTTCGATTCTGCTCACTTTGCTCTTCCAGCTTAAGAGACGTAGGAAAACCAGTTGGTGAAAGCAATAAATGATTGCAAAAGTCTTTTTCGGTTCTGTAATAATGTTCCAATGGTGTTGACCACAGAAAGAGTAATTGAACAAAAAATAAAACCTTTGGATTTATCAGTTGCTATAAACAAATTTAAATCGACCAGCCAAGGATGTGTTGTTATTGGATGTAATGATAGCATCATTGAGAAAACTAGCGCAAAGCAGCAAAGGAGCTGTCAGAGAACTATGAGGTAGAAATTCCTAGAAATGCGAATCCAAAGATAATTATTGTTCTAGTAAAAAAGTTTTTTCCGGGCTATAATGCAGCGGTCGAGTAATATTTCTACCTAACGTTTCGTCTACTGCTGCGGTAGACATCTTCAGAGGCGATGTGGTAGAGGACGAAGTGTTCTCTTCTGTGTTCCTCTGATGACTGGATTCCATGTTGTGTTGGACCTGCGTTATTTATATCCAGGTTTGTGGGAGTTGCTTGTATTACGCTATTTTCCTTGTCTCGTTCTCGGAAAGGCAGGGTCTTTGTTTTTTGGAGAACTAGCAACCAGCATTTGTTAAGGTTCATGCCCTCTTCTTTTCTGTTGAAGTTGTTGTGGTGTTTCTGTATCTCTATGGCTTCTCTGTGGAGTCTGGTGTGATGTTTGCTCCTATCCACTTCTTGAGTCTGGTCGGTCGAAACGGATGACATAGTTTGTGTTAACACGTGTTCGGCGATTGCTGATCTATCTATTTGTCCTTGCTGATAGTTACTTTTGTGCTCTTTGTCCCTGGTGTTGATAGAGCGTTTGGTTGTTTCTACATAGACAGATGCTCAAGAGCAGGGAATTCTATAGACGCCAGCCGTTTCAAGAGGTGCCCTAGGATCCTTGGTCGATATTAGACTTTGGTGAATTGTTCTTGTGGGCTTGTAGATGGGCTTGATGTTGTGTTTTTCTAGCGCTTGTCCTATGCGATCTGTGACATTTTTGATATAGGGAAGTAAGGCTCTCCCTGCCACCTGTGCTGGTTCCTTAATATTTGTGTGCTGTTGCTTCATGCTCTATTTATCTCCTGCTTGGGGTACCCAAAAATTATTATTATTATTATTATCGCACGAGTCCAAAATATGGCTATTCGATGCGTGCCATACAATATTATTTGACATATCCACATTTCAGTTGCTCTATAAACTTAATTTATGCATCTGATATAATAATGTCAAAGTCTAAAACTATATGTTTATTGTAATGATGTGCCTGTAAAAGTGTTGAAACTCCACTGTGCGAGACGAGAATGACGAAGAAAAAAGGTGCCTTCTATCCAGGAGTCCTGCTCTCTGAGTCCGGATTGGGGCTTCGTCAGGGAGAGAAAGCAATATCTTCAGATAATAATAAAAATAATAATAAAGGTCTTTATTACGAAGAATCTTGAAAGGCAAAGTCAAGTTGAACAGATTCAGCTATTCAAACTTAACCCTAAAAGATCGTCGTCATCAGGGGACCTCTCTGTTTTTTTTTATGCCTTGAGCCACCTGCCCAAGTTCAACGATAAAGAAAAAGAAAACAAATATCGAAATATCCACAAAAGTAGTCTGCACGAAGGCAATAAGTAGAGTCGGAAACCTGAGCAAAAGATGATGTCAGCTGATTTGGAATTGAACAAAAATAATAACTCAGTGCTCTTGGGGTTTGTTGATGATGGAACAGCTTTTTCTCTCTGTAAGTTACCTACTTGAATCACAAATTGTTCTGTTCAGTATTTAAGTAAATTTTCCAACTTAAATCAGTATTCAATATACTTCCTTGAGTCTTCCTTGGAGATCGTGAGATTAGAATGGACACTTGCTACTATATGACTAGTAAGTCATGTGAATTCTAAACGCTCAAAGCTTCCTGAAGGTGTGAGGAATCCTCAAGGAGCGACTGAAAATTCGGCCCTGAAGTTGTTACAGGTTTCTTTTTTACACTAAGAACACTCAAAACCTCAACTGTTTAAACTAGAAATCAAACATGCTAGCATACACTAATCCTTACATTCGCAGTTCCTATTGTATTGAACATGTTCAAAAATCTACTACTTAATTAAGTCCTTGTATCTAATCCTGAACTTTTTTAAATACTAGAAGCATCACCTATTAGCAGGCAATACTTTAGGACCTTTTGAAGATTTATTTTTTTGTTAGTTTTCATCTTCTGAATGGAAAAAGACTTCAACGCATTATCAAACTGACTGATCAAATGTTTCTAGGGATCAATAGGTATATCATTCCAGTTACAGTTGGCAGACTGAGAAACAAAAATGTTGATTGTCTAAAAACGCAGCCCTGTGCTTGGGGGTTATTGAGATTGAGGTGGAGAAAGCACCAACAGAGGCCTCATAATCTGCTAATGGCCTCATGATATAATTTGCCTAAACTGAGAACACAGCAAAGCACCCGCTGAGCAGCAAATCAAGAACAGCAGTAATTGATTATTACAGACCACAAAAAATTGAAAATTAATATCTACTAGTGTCACCTTCTAAACAAACATTGACATTTCTCGTCAATCCAGATGATAATTTATTGTGCAAGCGAAGACATTTGTCATTTTAAAGGTAGAAAATAATTTTTCTGAAGAATAACAAACTTTACTCTGAAAGATTTTTCCCCAATTAAATTTCTTAATGGGAACAAAATAATTGGAATCAAGAAAAGCCTTTTAGGTCATATTAATTGTACCTCCATGCTAAAATTCAGCTTTACAATTTTTGAGCAAGACATGGATATTCGAATAATGCGGCCTCAACCAAAAGTGAAAAAAGTCATAATTTCTTTTTGTAAGAACTGAATAGTTAGCCAAGAAATTAAAAAAAGAGTTCTAGCATAAAATATCAAAAAATGCTTACCTGTAATTTCTGTACTATTTCTTTTGTTTGCAAATTCCAAATATAAACCATGTTATCCTCCGATCCACTAACAATCCATTTTCCTCCCGTCACAGAGAAGTTCGCAAAAATGCAATATTTCTCGTTTTTGTGACCAGAGTAAGTTTTTAAACATTTACCCTTGGCATAATCCCACAACTTTAAGGTGCTATCTAAAGTAGCAGCTAGGATATATTTCCCATTTGGTGAAAATTTGACGAAGGAAACTGGGGGATTGTCATCATCAATCAGTGTCTTCAAGCACTGGCCAGAGGCAGTGTCCCAAATTCGACACAACCCATCATAGCTACTACTAACAATCAGAGAACCGTCTCGGTTAAAGTGTACTGCACTGACAGGATCTGAATGAGCCGGAAGAGTTTTGAGACACTTTCCTGTGCGCACATCCCATATCCTTACAGACTCATCAAATGAACCAGATACTATGAGGTTAGACTGGGGATTGAAGTTGCAGCAAAATACATAGTTGCTATGACCTTTTAAAGTTTTGAGGGATTTGCCGGATACTAGTTCCCAGATCTTCAATGTTTTGTCGTCACTAGCTGAGACTAACAATCGACTGTCGCTTGACCAAGCTACATCACTTATACCTGAAAATAAACAGGAAATTTTTGATGTTAGGTATGCTCATGAGAACTTTTTACTATCTTAGAAGTTTGTTACTGATCTTTGAAAACCGTGTAAAAGTCTAATGAGCAACGAGTTTAGTAAAGTAAATTTTATTGAAGGATGTGACCAGCTTTGGGAATAAATTAGTAGAGAAAGCAAGTGCCAAAAGGCTCAGAAGTTTAGTTGACCCCTTTCTAATTATGTGCTCATAATGATGTAAAATTCCCAAAACATTCAAAAGCCACGAACATTCTCGGAAACTTACCGGGAATATTGGAAACTTTCGGGAGCTTATGGGAATATTGTTTTTTTTTTTCAATTTATAGCTAAATCAGACAAATCAGTAGTAAGCTTTATTTATTATTGTAGTGAACTTTTACGTATCAAAATATTTAATTATTTGCCGAACCAAATTAAATGCCAAAACAATTATCAAGGGTTTTGTAAATCTCTCAAGGAATTCCTAATTCAAAAGGCATACTACAGTCTTGAAGAATTTTATCAGTAAAATTAAGTCTTTTTATTATAACAATCTTTTGTATCATTGTTCCCTCATACATAATAAAATTGTCAATTCTGAAAGGTTCCAAATACCTAGTTGTTTTTTTGTTTTAGCATTTATTTATTTTTATATTGTTTTAAAGTGTTAACAAGGTTTCAAATATGTATATTTTTTTATTTTGTTTTTCTTCTTTGTTTGTGACGGAATTTTTATATATTTTAACTATTTTTATAGTATTTTATCCTAGTACCTACTTTACTGAAATTATAAGAAATTTATTATTTATTATTATTTTTTATATTTTTTTTTAATATGTTTTTAATAATGTGGTTTCTGCTTTCTTTTATGAACTTGTAATATTAACATTTTAGTCTATTTTATGTCGTTATGTTTTGATCTCTTGAAGTGATATATAGGTACCTACTTAACTTGAAAAATCAATTGGGTATTAGTTTAATTATTAATTTGAATATTATTAACTGTGATAAAAATTAAAATGTGTGTATAGTTTTAAGAATCGCTTTGTCAATGGTTTTTATAAAATTTCGACAATAAAGCATTATTGAATTGAATTGAATTGAAAAAAACTGACTATAGACTATAAACCAATAAAAACACTTTTTCTGTAAGATCAGCTTCACAAAGATAAAAGGCCGGCCTCACACAGTCGGAATGTCTTACAGAATTCAGGATCTGAATTCTGCCACATTGCCGCACACATATCTTGAAAATTCCTTGACCAGTATTCTCATAGTTTGCGGAATCTTTTGAGCGGCGTTGGTTGGAAGGGAAGAATCAGAATCTGAATTCCGGCTGTGTGAGCTTATATATTTGAAACATACGGGAAAACATGCGTTATGAATTATACTCTTAATTTTCCAGTTCCGGAATTCAAAAGGCTCATCAGAGTTACGCTGGCACATCGATATGACAAATTCATAATCTGAAAATAAACAGAATGTGTGTGCTGTATATTAAGAATAGACAATTCCATACGTTATGAATTTAGATTCTGAATTCAGAAAAACATTGCGGCCATGCGAGGCCGGCATATCTATGAGGGGACTTCTGGATGGGTGAATAAGGCTTTTACAGAAACGCTAATCCGATTAACTCGATCTCCCAGCACCTTATTTTTTATCTTTCTTCAATGAAGACGATTAAAAAAAGACAAACCGTAGGTACATGAGCTGGTGATTGGGCAAATCGCATTAGCGTTTCCGTAAAGACAGTTAGACAGGGCACATCATCCACATAAATTGAAATGAGTCACTGAGACTTTGCTAGGAAAGTTAATGGAAATATTTTTTTGAGAGTTTTTGATTGAAAATTTCCGGGAATATTCTCATTTAGGAGAACGTTTCTATTTTTGATCAGCGAATATTCTTGGGAATTTCCCAATGTTCGCGAATATTCTCGACTCACATCACTATGTGCTCACTTCAACAATCAAATGCTGATTGCAGGAACTATTGAAAAACTGATTTCAGAAAAAGTACTAGAGTTTTTAGCAAAGAACGCATCAAGAAATTTTGGAATCTACATTTTCGTGGACCAGTGCTTGGATGATTTAAGGAAAAATTTTAAAATAATTTTGGTGAAAAATATGCCTTGGTATACCTAAGTCTGAAGAGTATTGATCACGCCAATTTTTGGCTTGTTTGAATTTGAGCCTAAAAAATGTGGAGAGCTGGACATTTTTCACTTTCAGATATGGGTTCTGGTCACTTATAGGTCCCAACTTCTATGGAATTTTTTAGCAGTAATTTCATTTAGATATCACTTGAAAAATAGTTCCCATTCGAAAAAAGTGCGGAATATTTAGTTTCCTACAATATCATAAGGTTTTAGTCTAGTCCTACTGCTCATTATTATTTTTTTTTATCAATTCGTCAGCCGGTTTTTATATTGTACTTACTAAGGAATAGCACGCATTTGGTGGACGGGAATTTGCATATTTTTCACTTTTTTGAATTCGATAATATAATATAAGGACTAGTACGCATTACGTGGACGGGTTAGTTTGGGTAAGTTTGCATATTTTTGGTTAGTTTCGCTACATTCCGTTTAATACTGGTTATAAGTGTACTGGTGTAGTTACAAGGCGCTCGAAGCGCGCTCGTTTTTCTGATTTCAATAATAACATAATATAAAGATTAGTACGCGTTACGTGGACGGGTTAGTTTGCATATTTTTGGTTAGTTTCGTTACAGTTCGTTTAGTACTGGTTATAAAGTGTACTGGTGTACTCACAATTAGGAATTCGATAATAACATATAAGGACTAGTACGCATTACGTGGACGGGTTAATTTGGGTTAGTTTGCATATTTTTGGTTATTTTCGTTACGGTTCGTTTATTACTAGTTATAAGTACTGGCTGATAACAGAGCGCGCGAAGCGCGTTCGTGTTTTTAACTTAAATAATAACATACAAGGACTAGGACGCACTACGTGGACGGGTTAGTTTGCATATTTTTGGTTAGTCTCGTTACAGTTCATTTATTACTGGTTATGAGTGTACTGGTTGACAACAAAGCGCGCTGATTGCGACCGATAGTGGGGAATTTTCGTAGTTTATTTTCGAAAGGTGGGCCAAATCGTCAATTTTGAATATAATTTTCCAATGGAAAATGTGCATTTTCCGCATTTACTTATAGCTTAAGGTGGGTTTATACAGCACATAACATAACATAAGAAATAAGATAAAATAAGACATAACACGGAAAGAAATGCTTTGATAAAATGAATCAAATCGACTTATTGAAATAAGAAATACCATAATCTATGCCAAATAAATTAGTTTAATCTAAAATGGAATAAAACAAGAAAAAAACTGACAAATATTAGCGTTTTAAGATTAATCTGCTAATTTCGCTTACGATTAATAACATCAAATTGAAATTAATATCAATAGATACAATTTTCTTGTTTTTATGCTTAAACTGCTAAATCTCATCAATTTTTTTCTTGGGACATCAAAATTTAGATTGATTACAAAAAACGCTTTTCTTAAATCAATCAAACATTAAAAATCGAATTGATGTACCTCCCATGATTAATTTTCGCAAGAAATTTGCTCAAATTAACTCTTAGATTATATTATTTTAGCTGTATTTGATACTAGTTTAACTAAAGGATAATATCTGATTTATCAACAAGATCAATTTGAGAAATTGAGATTCCTAGTGTCTGGTAGAATAGGTTCCATCAAAGTTATCTCAACAAGCATCATAGTGAAATTTTTTACATATTTCACAGATCTATACATTTCCAAATCAAATCAATTAGGAATGAATTACTAGGTACATTGATTTAAAATATTTTAGGTTTCAACACAGAATAATATGGGCATTAATTTACTTTTGATCTATATGGTTTTGATGGGATCAATAAAATAAATGCTTAATATCTATGATATTTTAAATTAATGTATTTCTGTCTGGATTAAGTTATTCATAGAATTTACTGACATTTAGAAAACAGAAAAAAACAGTGAACTGAAAACAATCAAATCTATAACTATTTCTATCCAATTTTTGCTATGATTATCAAATATTTGACCAAATTAATAAAACTCTTCTAGAATCGAGCCATTATTTGGCTTAATCTATAATATAAGGAGTAAATCAAGCAAATACCTATAAGTTTTTCTAACGCTTTTGGCTACTTGAGTTATGTTTCATTTGAAAATATTTTAGTGTGTGTGTGGTGTTTTGTTGGAGGAAGAACGTCTCCCCTGTTTATGTGGAGTGCACGCCGTACCCGGTCCACAGGAAAAACTTGTCTAAGTTGTCTTTGTGTATTTTTTCGTACTCTCGCACCCATACTCGTAGTGCCACGCAGTGCTAACTGGCAATAATAAATTATTGAGTTTTGTGAGTGATATTTGTGATATTTGTTTCTTTATGGGAGAGAAATTGAAATTTCCAGTAGAAACGAACATTTCATCTGTCTTTTTGTAAAACCTACTAATAACATAGGGTGTTACGGAGTTTTGGAATTGTGTTTTTTATTTTTATACAAGGAAATTTATATTTTTAATTTGGTTCCTGTAAGCTGATCAATTTGCTTTTACACTAAAGACATAGCTGTATGCAACATCATCTTTTAATTTTAAAAGCACTTTTAGCCTATTCTGTCACTTTTTAAAAAAATTATTCTTAAGCAATTGACTTTCAAAGTCGTTTTTAAAGTTAAAAGAGGATGTTGCATACGGCTGTTATTATTTTCTTATTATCTATAAACTATAAGGTATAAATTGTATTTCTTTTGAGAAGGTTATTTAGGTTGAATTAGTAGGAGATAATAATAATTTAGTATTCAATATTGTAAACGAATGCAGAATAAATAATAATTAAACCGAAACCTCATTTTATTGTTACTATTTTCCCACCACCACCGCTAATTAGGAAAATCAATTGGCCAGCAATCAAATATTGAATGCACATAATCAAAAGATTTGATAAGTTGCACTCAATTATTAGATATATAACATCAAAATATTGCAAGAAGTAATCAAATTATTTGATAAATTTTATCCTAATTATTTGTCAATTTGCTATCTTTCGTCATATCTTTTTCTAAAATCAATCATATATTTAGCAAATATTATCTACAATCAACTTGAACTGATCCAAAAATTGCTTGATACTATTCAACACTTAGCTAAATTCAAGAATATATAAATTATATTCAGGAATATCATAGGCAAATTTAATTTTATTTTTGCTAATAATAATCAAATTTTGGTTGTTATTTATTGGAACTCATTTGCTGCTACTTATCATGGTTTGATATATTTTAGCAGATTTTAGCTTTACAAGTAAATCAATCGAATCATTTATTGATATTAATCTAAATTTAGATTGACGCTATATTGATCAAAAATTTGATTGTAATACTACCCTACTGGATTAATAGTATCCAAAATTTCTTTCCGTGAACCTATGGCTGGTTTATACAACATTTGCATAGTCGTAATCATAATCATAGTCTTAGTCATAAGAGTTAAAATAATATTTTCTTATGGAACCGTTTATACACAAATCATAATCATAAGCATAAGCATAAGCATAACTCAAAGTTGGCAACTTTTAACTTTTATGATTATGACTAAGACGAGATCCAATTTGCGCAAGCGCCATTATCAGCTGATAAAGAGAAAAACAATTCAAATCTGCTATTTTAGTTCTGTTTGTATTTAAATTGATCTTGAGTCATTCTAGAGTATTTAAAAAAAAGGGTCTCCATCGAGCTTCTACATGTCTTTGAATAATGTAGCAAAATGCCGTTCCTTCTGCCTTTTTTTATTGATGGGACTCACTTTCCACCTTCTTTGTTTATGGTTTGCGTTTGTTGAAGTTGTTTATTAGCAAAATTCAAATATTAATAGGACAGACCTATCACTTGTATGGTTTTCTTTCGCAGAATTTTAATTTCCACACTTTTTGAAACTTTGAAAAAGTATTAAAAGTGAATAGACGAGATCGATTCGCAAAAAGTAAACAAATTCTCCCTACAAAAAGTCGGGTTAGAGTTGATTTTATTTTATGCTTATGACATTGTATAAACGCCTTCTAAAATTGTGATTATGATTAAGACTAAGACTAAGACTATGATTATGATTACGACTATGCAAATGTTGTATCAACCAGCCAATAATATAAGAAATAAGAATTTTGTGGCGTTTATACAGAAAATAACATAACATAAGAAATAATTTATAACCAATCAGCTGGTACGTGTACTTATGTAAACTATACCGAAAACACTATATTTGATCAAAAAAATTATTAATTAATAATTTAGCAGAAACAGAAAATAAATATCGAATTCCAAAATATTACCAATAGCTGAAAACAGAATCAAAATATTTTTTTTTTGGTTGGAACGTTTTGTTTACTACTCCGCCATGCGCAGATCCGTTTTCACATAAAATAATGGTTTATACAACATTTGCATAGTCGTAATCATAATCATAGTCTTAGTCATAAGAGTTAAAATAATATTTTCTTATGGAACCATTTATACACAAATCATAATCATAAGCATAAGCATAAGCATAACTCAAAGTTGGCAACTTTTAACTTTTATGATTGTGACTAAGACGAGATCCGAACTGCGCAAGCGCCATTATCAGCTGTTACTACAGAGAAAAACAATTCAAATCTGCTATTTTAGTTCTCTGTGTATTTAAATTGGTCTTGAGTCATTCTAGAGTATTTAAAAAAAGGGTCTCCATCAAGCTCCTACATGTCTTTGAATAATGTGGCAAAATGCCGTTCCTTCTGCCTTTTTTTTATTGATGGGACTCACTTCCCACCTTCTTTGTTTATGGTTTGCGTTTGTTGAAGTTGTTTATTAGCATAACTCAAAAATAAATCGGACAGACGGACAGACCTATCACTTGTATGGTTTTCTTTCGCAGAATTTTAATTTCCACACTTTTTGAAACTTTGAAAAAGTAAAAGTATTAAAAGTAAATAGAGGAGTTCGATTCGCAAAAAGTAAACAAATTCTCCCTACAAAAAGTCGGGTTAGAGTTGATTTTATTTTAGGCCCTGGCTAAAGTAACAGAGGTGTTACTATAATTATTTTTTTAAAGTAACATCAATTTGTTGTCATTGATGAAAACGTTACTTTTAATAGGGGTTAATAGTAACGGAGGTGTTACTCTAATTATTTTCTTGAAGTAACGTCAATATAGCAATATGTAGATAGGTAATTACTTTCTTTAGCAATTTAAAGTAAAGGTGATATTCTTGGTTCTTGGCATTTGTTTTAGAGTAAAAATGGAAATAAATAAAAAATAACCTGACTTGACTTTGAAGAATAGAATAGAATACTTATGAAACAGGCACAATTATAGGCAAGGCAGGAAAGACACATTTTCTTATGACTGTCAGAAAGTGACAATTTGTTACCTTTTTTTCAGGTAGGAAAATAGTATTTTCGCCTCCCTATGGAGGAAAGTAAATTATTTTCCTTCCTAGGCAGAAGTTTTTTCGCTGTAGATTATCATAGTTTTAGCTCCAAATTAAGAAATTACCTATCTTCATTTGCTGAAAAAAAAAATGCTTGAAGTTGATGGCCATTATTTTATACCGCTAATGATTAAAAATGGAAAACTGAATTTTCACTCTGCACACTCATAAAAAGGTAAACAATCGAATTTCACCTGCAGGAGAGAACTATATCTACACTCCCGTTCCTTTGTAAGGGCATGTGAGGAATAGGAATATGGAGACGCCGTTTTTCTCACAAAAGATTTGTATTATCAATATGTTGATTCAAATTTTTGGTTTATAAAAAATAAAAATATTATTGTTATGTTGTTGAATATCACCTTTACTTAGTTTAAATTGCTAAAGAAAGTACCTACCTTTCTTTTCTATATATGTATTGCTATTGCTACTATATTGACGTTACTTCAAGAAAATAATTTAAGTAAACACTTCTGTTATTCTACTATAGCCCCTATTAAAAGTAACATCAGTGACGTCATTGAACTGATGTTACTTTAAAAAAATAATTATAGTAACACCTCTGTTACTTTAGCCACGGCCTTTATTTTATGCTTATGACATTGTATAAACGCCTTCTAAAATTGTGATTATGATTAAGACTAAGACTATGATTATGATTACGACTATGCAAATGTTGTATAAACCAGCCATATGACATAAAAGTTAAAAGTTAACCAACTTTCTTATTTCTTATGTTATGTTATGTTGTTATTTTCTGTATAAACGCCATAAGGGGTTTCCATAAGGTCAACTTTTTATCTTATGTTATGTTATTTCTTATGTTATGTTATGTGGCTGTATCAACCCACCTTTACATGTGTTTATTTGAAGGAATCTTTCTCAAAAGATAAAAAAAAATTACGTCTCTATTGGGACCTATAAGTTACCAGACCCCAGATATGTATTTGATAAAGTAAGTATTGGGTCGCTGGTCTTTGTTTTGACCTCTTCCTTCCTTGTCCTTTGATTGAAATTGGTGCGTTAATTATTTAAGATTCATGGCAAATACGGAATTGAGTGTCAAACTTTCAACGGCATGTTGGAGAAAGTAAAATTAATCTTTACTACTTACATTCTCACAACATTTATTAACACTAGTAACGTGTTCCGCTACACTATAGCTATACCAATACCTCGACCAATACATCATTATTCAATATAATAAACCAAAATACCCCTTCGGTTTTGATATCCCAATCAAAAATTAATTTAAATTTATATTTATACATATAAATCAACTCTTACCCAGCTTATGACCAGTAATAGTTTTCTCAAATTTGCCATCATAAGCGCCCCAAATTTTGATTAACTTATCAGCCGAAGAACTTGCCAACCATTCTCCATTTGGGCTGAATTTAACCGACGAAACGGCTTTGGTGTGTCCCGCTAGTGTAAATTTCAGTGTATAGTTTGATTTCACATTGCTTGATGATTTGGTGGATCCTCCAGAAGGAGGCAAAGCAGGGGGGCCCTGAGGCCCGGGAGTCGAGCTCATGGGCATCATTTTCTATTGAATGGAGGCCTGATGATATCGAAATTGAAACAGAATATTCTCAAATTGATAAATGTAATCACAACACAACACCCCCCATGAAAGTTATGCTATGCGGAGTTATAGGTTATGTTAACTCGTGCTGATGCCTTCATTTCTAGCTGAGTTCGGAATGGTAGAAAGTGTCGACACTTTTTACACTATGGACACTGTGGCCTTTGTTAATTGGTTGGAGTAGGTTTGGTGTACACTTTATTTGCGTTTGGAAATGATTTGGTGTCCAAATGGTGTAAAGATGGTGGGACACCGTTCACTCGTTACAAAGTGATGGTGTAGTTGGTGTTACACCGCCGATTACACCTTCATCACGTGATACAACAGCCGCTTTCCAGCTGACGCTTTCGAACACGCAATCGAGCTTTTGCACGCGCAAATGCTTCAAGCGCATGTCGTGTTCCAGTCGTACTGCGCTTCGAGAGCTGCTCACTTTTGCGTTTCAAACACAGAACACTGTGCTGCACCGTGCTTGAAGCACACAGCTGGAAAGCGGCTAAAGCCGCGTCCAGATTAGTAAATAAATGCGTTGCGTTGAATTCGGGATTCGCCACAAATTTTTGCGGTGCAAATTTGGCATGTTGACCAACATAACTATTTGTGTTATGCGCCGTGCGTTCTTGCTCAACGCGTGTGTGCCTATTTTATTTCAGTGTGCGCGTTGCTTGTTTTTGGTTATTTGTTTCGTTCACGAAAAAATGCGTCCACACTAGAACGATGTTGCGCCGCAAATCCCTTTGATGTCTTGAAAAAAACCGACAAGCCGCGGATCGCGTGCGGTGAATGTCGCGAAAATTTTTGCGTGCGTCTGTATGCGGCGAACAGGTCCACACTCGCATAAATTTGTATCGCACACACAAATTTGTGCCGAATACCACGCACAACGTAAATTTTTACTAATGTGGACGCGGCTTTACACTACACTACACGAACACCGCGCTAGCACTAAACTAGGCCGAGTTCAGAAATAACGCACAGGGTGCGATTGCGATTTTATGGGTGTGCCTGAATTGACAATTGACCATTGGGCCCATAGCACCGTCTAGCATTTTTGAACAGCTTGGGCGTCGCACCGGAGTCACACTCACACTGGGTGTGTCATTCCTGAACTCGCCCCTAAAGTCCCATTCAGAGAGCCGCTTTCCAGTATGCACATTGGCACGCTCTGGCGCGCTCCAGAGCACCTCGGGGGCGCCACGCACTAGATTTGTACCGTTCCAGTATCATGGCGTGAGACGCCTGTCTTATTGTCAAATATGTCAAATTTTAAAAATAATTATCTATTTGTTTGTGCAGTTTGTTTTTTTATTTATCAAAAATGAAAGAGAATCAAAACATATATTTTAAAATGTTCAATCTTGAGATATAACAAGAAATAAATAGATAAATAGCCACCCACAGATGTGACAGCTGATAGGTTGACGCGTACGTACAGCTCGGGGGCTCCACGCCCTGAGTAGCTCCGGGCTTCACACTCCCATACTGGAAAGCGGCTGAACTCAACTTCTATTTGCTTGGGTCTTGTCAGTTGTCAATCCAAGTCGTAAGCAATGAACTATAGCCGCTTTCCAGCTGTGTGCTTCAAGCACGGTGCAGCACAGTGTTCTGTGTTTGAAACGCAAAAGTTAGCAGCTCTCGAAGCGCAGTAGGGCTGGAACACGAACACGCGCTTCAAGCATTCGCGCGCGCAAAAGCTCGATTGCGAGCTCAAAAGCGTCAGCTGGAAAGCGGCTATAGTCAAAAGCTGGAATGCGCACACATTGCCATATCTGCGAAAAAAATGTAGCCATGAAAGACAGATGCCACAAAGGGGAATGTTGTTTTTTTTCAATGAACTATAACCAAAAACTGGAATGCGAACACATATTGACGAACGTGAAGCCTAGTGCCGCTGCTGCTGAGGGGATACTTGTTTTTGTCGCACTCATTATGTTAAATGGCGAAAATTGCTTCCAACACGTATTCCAATTGATGAAACCTGTGAAGGTAAATATGACAGAACTTTCCAAAACGTCATATGTCAGCGAGCAACAGAAAAAAACAACATTCCCCTTTGTGGCATCTATCTTTCATGGCTACATTTTTTTGACAGATATGGCAATGTGTGCGCATTCCAGTTTTTGACTATAGTTCATTGGTTTTTTTCTGTTGCTCGCTGACATATGACGTTTTGGAAAGTTTTGTCATATTTACCTTCACAGGTTCCATCAATTGGAATACGTGTTGGAAGCAATTTCCGCCATTTAAAATAATGAGTGCGATAAAAACAGGTATCCCCTCCGCAGCAGCGGCACTAGGCTTCACGGTCGTCAATATGTGTTCGCATTCCAGTTTTTGGTTATAGTTCATTGGTCGTAAGCACTGTTTTTTTTTCATCGATGCGATGTATCCAATTGAGTACGCTATCCAATACTACACGTAAAGGCGTGTACAGACACAGAGAACGAAGGCGAAGGAACATTAACGAACGAATTCTTTCGGTTAGTTGTGTACGTACTAACGAAAGCTATCGAGTGGATTCGTTCGCTCATAAGGGTTCGCTTACTGGGCGGTAAGATTCGGCCGAATTCATTCGGTCTATTTATAATGTGTACGAATTTACGGTTATACGGAAAATTGTTCGTTGAATTTTGACGGCTGGCGAAAATAAATGAACAACATCGAAAAAATTAGTTTGCGTTCCTTTGTTCAATGTGGACAAGAAAGCGAATATTTTATCGTCACCGAACAAATTCTTGTGAATTTATTCGAACGAATTCATTCGCCTTCGTTTGCTGTATCTATACGCGCCTTAACTGGAACGCAAGGAACGAACCTAACACTTAAGCTTAATTTTCATGCATCCGTTTTTCAGACGAAAGATGTCCGAAAAACATTCTATTCTGACATAATCGTATAAAAATATGTCAAAATAGAAGATTTTTCGGACATATTTCGTCGGAAAACGGATGCATGAAAATCCGGCCTTAAGCCTATTTTTCATGCATCCGTTTATCCGTCAATCCGTTTATCCGAAAGTATTCCTATTGGTCCAATATTTTGGCGCCTGAATCCGGCAGTAATCCTATTGATCCAATATTATGGCGCCAAAATATTGGGCCAATAGGAATGCTTTCGGATCAACGGATTGACGGATAAACGGATGCATGAAAAGTGTCCCTAACAACTGCTCTCAATGTTTATTTTTGAGGCAAATTTTATGGTAGTGACAACGAAAATAAAAGGGGTTGCTTGCTCTGTCGCACGCGTACATGTTTACGAGCAATGGTGGGGGCAAAGGCAAAGACGGCCACCCCTTTTTCGTTTGAAAATTTGCCTCAGCCCAGCCGTGAAAAATGGTGCCATTCCATTTACGTAGTATACATTTCACTGCCATTCAGACAGCCATTCCAATTTTCTTTGAACTAGACAAAGATATAGACTGGGTCATCGATGGATCCACCGGTGAAAAAAAATCGAAAGATTCACCACCAGTGCATGGACAAGGATAGCACACTAGGATTTATATCGGCCTCGTTTTTGGTAATCGCCGCCGTAAAGCCTAGTACTCATAACTGCGAAATTCGGTTTTTTTTGACATTGCTTTGACAATTTGACGTTTGATACACGCATAAAACGTCAAATTGTCAAAGCAATGTCAAAAAAGTGCGAATTTCGCAATTATGAGTACTTGGCTTATTGGTGTGTCACCATTTCCGACGTCATCAACAAGTCGTTAGCTGTTTGCACTAAAGGTCGTAGTTTAGAATTTAAATTTATAATTTATGATGAGAAATATTATTTAATTTTGAATAACATAATTGGCAAAGAGGAAAATTTTAAAAAAATTAAAAAAGGGTTGTGTTAGAATGTTAATTAATGTAGTAAAACCAAGTATGCATGAAGCAAAAACCCGTGGAATCATAACTTTCTGTAGTGCAAGCATGAGGGAGGAGAGATTTGTTCCACACAGGCCTTATGAGGATAGGCTATCCTTTAGCATTAGTGTGGGAGCGTTTATCGATACGATATATCGATATGTACATAGCTACTTATATCGATAAGTACATCGATACGTCGTCGGTGATGTGTATTTAAATATTTGTTGCAGTAAAAACGTAAAATTGAACAATAAAATAGAGAGTTCTCGTGTTGTGCAAATTTCAAATATCGTAACTCTATTTGACAAGTATGACAGTTCTTACGGTATTAGCGTTAGCGGAGCCCGCTACCTAACAGTACAGTGACTCTATTACCACAGTCGCGACAATTGCCGTCTTCTTTTTGATTGGTTTTTTGAAATCCTTCATATGGAAAACGCCGCCATTTTTGCCCAACCTCTTGCTACTTTTAAATTTGAATATATAGGATTTAAATGGATATCCATCATAAAAAATTGAAAACAACGTATCTGATGACCATAATTAGGCACATCAAAAACTTTGTTTTCAATTTTTTATGATAGATGATGTCCATTTAAATCCTATATATTCATATTTAAATGTAGCAAGAGGTTGGGAGAAAATGGCGGCGGGACCTCTATTGATGCCACTGTATGTAAAGGTTTATTTAGCCACTGTACCTAACAGGAGTTAGCGGATGCCTCAGCGTAACGCTCAAAAAAAGTTGGGTTAGATCACTCAATTCAACTGTCAAAATGTAAACAGAATAAGGGCGGGTATTATAAAACTGCTGTACCAGTTAACTTGAAGTTAACTTTTTGAATTACATGTATTTCTAGAAGTTAACTTTAAGTTAACTCTCAAAGTAGTTTTATAATACCCGCCCTAAGGGACTTTGAGAGTTAACTTAAAGTTAACTGTCAAAGCAGTTTTTTTTTTTTTTTTTTTTTTTTTTTTTTTCTTCTGCTTTCTTGTCAGAAACCACCACTGTGGTTTGTCGACAAAGCCTCCAACATCACACACAAACCAAATCAAACAAACAAACAAACATCCATGCACCTAGCCGGGATTCGAACCCGAGACCCACTGCATGCAAAGCGAAAACACAACCGCTGAGCTGCTTGGGTCTGCAGTTTTAGGGCGGGTAGA